CACATATTGTGGTGTATTAAAATTAAGATTGTAAACTAGTCCATTTCATTGCGTCCACAACCTGAAACGTCAGTATAGAGAGCCTTCTTAGAAATTTACATGATTTTATTTTAGTTCATTTGACTGAATTCTGAGAATTTTGATAGCAAAAAAAGGGGCTTCTTGGAAGATCACTGGAACAATAATTGAGAAGTGAACATCCAAATGTTCACTTCTTTTTTTTCAACAATAGAGAAGGTTACACGAATAATAAAAACAAAAGGCTTTTTCTATAAGGGCAACTTCAGTTTAAGGAATATTGGATGGATTTTAGTTCCTTTTCATAATATTATATGAATATTTTACATCAATTATTAGTTAATGCTCCAAAAGAAATATAATAAATAATAACACTCAAAAGTGAGGAAAAAAAAAAGGAAGAAGAAACCTAGTGCCTTTTTTATATAGGATAATTCAGAATAATGATTTTTTTAAATATATATACGAAGAATAATGATTACGAAGAATAATGATTATGAAGGTTAAAAATAAGCAGATCCTGGTCTAGATTTTTCACATTGCTTCTCTAATTAATCGTTTTTATTATAAAACAAAAAACAAAAGAGTATTGTTAAACGAACCCTAAAATTAACTGAGTACACTCTATGATCTAAGTACACCCTAATATTTTAATATAAAATATAAAATTAATTAAATACACCCTACATAACTACCAAAAATACCATTGGTACACCCTAATACACTCTATCACACAAAGTAAATAAACAAAATCGACAACCTTTGGAAAGAAAAAAGAGAAACATATCCACCAATAGTCAGTTACTCACGCAACCACAAAGTGAAAGGAACCAAATGCCAAAGTGTTTCATTCAGCTAATAGCTAGTATACCTCAAATGCCAAAGTCTTACTTGCAAAAAAACCACAAAATTAACTGAACCAAATAAAATATCACCTCAATTGCAACCACAACCATGTCTCTAGAAAATCATCTTCTTGTTTCTTGTACAACATCATCAGTATCCTTGTCTTATTTTCAATATGTTGTCAATCATCATCTACAATAAGGAATCGTGGAGGCAAGACAATAATTCAAGTTTAGCAGATAAATAGAGCAGAGAAATGGCCTCTTACAAGTTTCAAGGCAAGTTAATAATTCAACGCAGGACCTTTGAACATTCAACGACACCTCCTCGCCCCTCTGTCAGTGCTCGCTATTTGATTATGATTGAATATGTGGCAAGTAGGGTGTACTTATTAAAATTATATTTGTTTCACAATTCAATATATCTTTTTTGGTCATTTTATATAATGATAAATTAGTAATTCAATAAATAGTTTGGTAGTAGAATGTATTCAGTTAATTTTAAAGTTCGTTTAACAACACTCAAAAGAAAGAGATGTCAAATAAAACAAGGCAAACAAAATATCTTGCTTGAGGTTAACTTGAAATTTCAACACTGGTCCCCCGCCCATGGGAATGGAGCACATTTCGTGGCCAGCTGTTTACCTCCTTTGGGAGAGCTCCCGCAGCGAAAGGGATTAGTCACTGCTGTCGGCGGTGGACACCCTTGGGTCTAACCAAAAAAAAGAAATTTCAACACTGGTCAAAGAGGCCGCGTGCATTATATGAAGGAAGACGGAACCATCGATGGTCTTCAAATCTTCCTTGCCTCCAAGATAATTGACAAAGTCTCATTTCTTTTTTTTTGGTGAAAAAGTCTCATTTCTAATTCACTATAAATATTGGACGACATTTATCCTGATCATATCCGCTCAAGTCTAAATAAACCACACAATCAGCCTTCACCACTTTTCCACTATTCTTACAAACAAATGGCTATCTTTTCGCCCATTCTCAATTGCTTCATGCCATTGTCAAACTCACAGGTCTCAGATGATGCAGGAGGCAGTGCAAAAGCTCCTTCTTTAACGGAATCCAAGAAAAGCAAATCAAAATCATCGTCGTCGTCAGGAGCTCCCATTATAGTTTCTTACTTCCCCCATAATTCCTATCGTTCTCTCTTGTGATTGTGATTGTTTTTCTGCGTGCAAGAAAAGCAAGTTCTGAGTTTGAGTATGCCTACTTCAATACTGTAAATAGATGAGGAGTTGGCCTGGATACACACAGAAGCCAATTGGGTGTAGTACGATATGATTGATTCTTAATTTCTTCTTTAAATTCAGGGTTTTGGTATTGATAATTTGATTGCGATTCGAGTAATAAAACTGCCCAGAAGGCAGCTCTATTTTCCTTTCATGAGTTTCACTATTTAATGATCAGTACTTCGTTTTAGCAACTTAGAGTAACAATTTGAACTTAAAACCTCTTTCAACTATTTATTTATTTATAAAAAGGCATTAATATAATATTGAGAGGAAATAACTAATACAAAATGAAACTAAGGCCATCTTGATTGTGGTCTTATGAGGCGTATTGGCAACTGTCACCTTACTCATGTTTACAGAGAAATGAATGTTGTAGCTGACCGTATGGCTAATTGGAGCTTTAACTTGGATTTGGGGGTTAGCTATTTGGATGAGGCCCCGTCTTGGGTTAGCTCCTTTATGGAGGATGATTTTTTAGGAGTTGCTAGGCCTCGCCTAGTTTGTTCTAGTTAGTTGTTGGTTCTTTTTGGGGTTTGTCCCCCCTATCTCATCGAAAAAAAAGGCCATCTCCAGCCATGGGATATATCCTAAATATAGCCCTAAAATAATGCAAAATCCATCTCCAGCCATGAGCTAAACAAAATTTTGGCCAAATTTGGAGGTCCCCTGTGCTTTCCAACTTATCTCAGATTACCACATGTGTTTGCAAACGTCTCAAAGTACCCCCCAACGTGTAAAAAACCGTCTCACGTTACCCTTTCCGTCAGTTTTTTTGAAGTTCCGTTACGAACGTTACTGTTCATCTCCCCCAAAATTTCAGAACAGTAGCCCCTCCCATTTGTTACTGTTCATCGCTTATTTACCCTCCAAAACTCAGAAATTTCTCCTAACCAACACAACTAGCAGCAAGAACAACTCGAGAGGTTGAAAAATCATACCTGGATCGAAGAAAATGGTGCTCGGAATCGCCTGAACGAGCAATGGAGATTTTGGGTAAAAACCGGCCAATTTCTTGCTTTTTTTCGGCGATCCAGACGACGGTTGGCAGCGGCTGAGATGTGAGGGTGGTAGAGGACAACGTGCTGGTTCTTTTGATATCCATGTCGTCGCTTGGGGTGGCCGGAGGAGGAGATGGCAGCCCAAAAACTGGTCAGATGAACAGTAACAAATGAGAGGAGCTGCTGTTCTGGAATTTTAGGGGGGATGAACAGTAACGTTTGTAACAGAACTTCAAAAAAACTGACGGAAATGGTAACGTGAGACCGTTTTTTGCACATTGGGGGGTACTTTGAGACGTTTGCAAACACAGGTGGTAATCTGAGATAAGTTGGAAAGCACAGGGGGCATGTACATAATTAAGCCTTATTTTTTTTCATATGGATATATTGTTAAGTGGCTTCTAGGTGTGTCTCACAACTCCCACCAAAATATATATTCCCCATATTGGGGCAGGGCAGAGAAGTTGTTCCCCTACGAATGGAGAATCCCCAATTTGTATTACGGGTATGAATGCCAGGATGGGGAAAAAAAGTAAATGAGGATGGGAATGGGAAGGACATACCCATCCCTGATTCCCCCCATTGTCATGTTTTTCAGTCCCTAATTTTCAGGAAGCCAAAATATTTTTCATAACGATTATATTGTTTACATACCCGATGGACAAATTTTAATTTTAATTTTAATTTTTTGGCTTTTGGTTGTAAATTGGGGCAAGTTTGTAACTTTTTTTCAATAAGGTTGAGAAGCAATTTTACATTATTTCATACCAAAAAGTACTAACAAAAAAAGTGGCAATAGTTATCATTATTTGGTGACTAATGTTGGGATGAATAAAGGCTTTAGTCACCAACCCAACATTAGTCACCAAATGTCACCAAATAATGGTGATTGTTATCTTTTTTGGGTAGTGAATGTCTTCCTCAAATTAGCGTAAAAGAAAATTTGATTAGTTAATTGGAGTAGTTATATAGTTTATGTCATAAACTGCTTGTCAACCTTATTAAAGAAATTAATGAAAAGCAATATAATTGTGTGGTTACACAAAATACTACATACACGCATGTCTTCTTTGCTCTCTTTATCTCTCCCTCTTGTAGTCGGTGTCCTGGCAAATGGGTCGTGTTACCTGCTTTTTTATTGGGTTGACATGACACAACCCATTAAAATAACAAATGATTGACCTGTTAAGGGAAAAAAAATTTAGGAAAAAAGCAACCAGAGAAGAGTTGGGGGAGGAGAGAAGGGAATTAGAGGACAGCCGACCAAAGACTTTAGACATTAGTCTGGGCCAACGAACGTGATAGTGATTAATTAGTGCAGCATGTACAGTGTATTTGTCTTCCGAGATTTGCAAGCTTTCTCGCCCTGTCACCCTCTACAGTTTTTGAATCAGTTTATTACTATTTTTTATATTATTAAGTGAATAGGAGAGAGCACTAAAGACTAAACCATGCCGCCCATGGTGGTTGTAGAAGTCAATATATATACGCGTTTGCTGATGATGGCTGCAGTTTTTTTAATCAGCTGGGTAATCTATGCCTTTTGGAAACAAAACGTGGCATGATGAAAGTTACAATGTTTTTGGTCGTATACAAAGGAGTCAAAGCAGCCACAATACCAAGAAAATGGAGAGAACCATCTGATGACTCGCTTGATTGCTTGTCCTCCAAGTTCGACGTAGTTAACAAAAAATCCCACTATAAAAATGAAGTACCGTCTGGCTTGATCCTCATCAAACAACCAGTTATCTCATCTTTAATCTTTGGCTCTCTACAAATCTCTCTCAGCTAAAAAACTACCTCAGGAATTCCTTTTAGGCATACAAGTTACAACAGAGAGTAAATTTTATCAACACTAATTAATGGCTTTCTTCTCTGCTTTTTCGAATTGTTTCATGCCGTCGTTGTCATCACAACGGGTTTCCGATGATGCTGGTGGGTCTTCTGGAGTGAAAGCGTCAAAGGAATCCAAATGCAAATCAAAGTCTTCATCAGAAGCTCCTTTAGTAGTCTCTTACTTCCCCACTAACTCTTATCTCTCTCGCTTGTGATCATATATATTGGTTGTTTTATATCTCTCTCGCTTGTGATCAAAATCATGATCAGAAGAAGCTCCATGAGTGCACAACGTTGGCAATTATAGCGACCAAGAATCGAAAGCATGTTTGAAAAATATCTGGAGTGGAAACAGGGGAACCACACTTTGGCAATTATGTACATGGTCCCTAGCTAAAAAACCTAGCATGGGTAACAGATGGTAACACATTAATTGGAGGCCAAAGCTCACTTTTGATCCCTGTAATTTGTCTCTTTTTCACTTTTGGTTCTTGTAGCCTCAATTTGGTCACTTTTGCCATTGTAGTTTCATGATTGTAGCAATTTACAATAAAGAAATTCTGTCAATTTTATTCACACTGTCAGGTTTATTTATGTCCAATTATACCATTTCTACTATTTTATTCAAGTTAAAATTCTCCATTTTATGTTAGGGCGCGAAAATGGGAATTTGGGTTTCGAGTTCTTTTTTGTTTTGGGTGATGAAAACATTATGGGCCTCATTTCATTGTGGTGTTTCTTCTTGGGCTCTTTTTAGAATAAAAATATATTGATCCTTTTAAAAATAATTAATTAATTAATTTTTTTGTCATTGGTCGAAAAAATAAAAAAAGGATCCTGATGATGACTATCACATCAAAAAAATTACTATAAATGTTAGGGCTAATGTCAAAATACCCTTTAAAGGTTTGGGGTCATTTGTAATATAGGCCCCCGAGTTTTAATTTCATCAATTTACACCTTCTTATTTTTCAAATATGATAAATTTAAGGGTTAATTACAGTTTAGTACCTCGTGGTGGTTACACCCTTAAAACATGTTAGTCCATATCTTCTTAATTTTACAATTGCATACCCTGATCTTTTAAATTTGTTACAATGTGATTCCATCGTTAAGGTTTCTATCAGATCTCTCCGTTAGTTGCCCACGTGGCATTTATGGGTTTCACAGTTTTGTTTTTTGTTTTTATATTTATAGGTGTAATAAAATATTTATATAATTGTTAAAAATCAATAAATAAAAAAAGGAAAAAAAAACCCACACCACCCATTTTCTTCACCGTCCAATGGAAAAAGAAAGAAACAAATCTTCGTCGTCTTCATCTTCATCACCAACATCACACCACCCATTTTCTCCTCATATCTGAACCCGTTTCTATCATAGAATAATATATATGGAATGAAGGTTCCCCTATGGTAGTTTAAATTAAAGTTCGAACCTGAGCCATTTTCCACTCGGTTAAACCTCGTTGGCACGCCATTTTGCCTTTAAGTAAAACTTGGCAAGAACATTCAACATAATTGTGTGATTAATCCGTACATTGTGTGGTCAAAGCAGCCGCGTACAGTTTGATTGAACTTGACATTTCAATTCCGTGCCTGCAAGTTAAACAATAATTCCACACAAGGACCCATTCCATTATTTTTCTATAAGGACTCAGAAGTTAACAAAATGTATCCAATACGAGGTGAAAATGTCCACCGGCCACCTATTTCTGAAGCCTCCAATTGGTGAACAGAAAAGAGTCTCTGAGGATTCTAAAGCGAGCATCGACCAACAAAACGGCAAGCCCAAGAAGGAGAGAGGAAAGGAAAAAAAGAATGGCAGAGGCGGCAATGAGTTCAGAATTGCTAAGAATACAATAAAGGGGAGTAAATCGGACAGGGTAGGAATTTTTGGGTTTGGCAACACCCACATGTGTAAAAAAAGCCATGGCAAAGAAGAACAAGTTGAGTCCAGCGAAGAAACCGACTCGGCGTCCAGCAGCGAAGAAGACGAAGAAGCAGTGAACTGAGGTTATGTGTAGTCTGTTTTTAATTTATGCAATATTAAAAATATTTTATAATTTGGTGAGATTATGTTATTTTATTATATGGACTCTCTTTTCTATTTATTAAAAATAAATAATTAAAAGGCGTTGTTATTGCCATTCCTAATTAGCGATCAAGTACTGATTCCTTCACTGCATGCCATTGTGGTTTTTGCTTGATTAAAACTAATAAAAAGTATCATCAACGTAGACAAGTTTACTGAAAAATTCGAAATAAAAAGTTAACCATTAGACATTAAAATTACATAACATCAAGAAATCAGGAATCACGAGATCCTTAAATTATATTTCACGCCAACATATATATCCACAACATCAGCCTTCTTGGAAATTCACATACAGAAGAAGTTTATGTTAGAATTAGTCAAACTTCCAGCTTTGACGCAGCCAACATTCATTTCTTTTTCATTTATAATTAAATTATAATTTGATGAAACTTGACATTTCAATTCCGTGCCGTGCAAGTTAATCAATAATCAATGTCCCAAATTTTCATCTCACTATAAAACACAAATGAACGACATTCATATATCAACCACCTCCAAAGGAAGTCTACAGAAACAATACTAATACAATTAGCCTTTTGATCGCCTCTTTCCCCGAACGTCCCTTCATTAATCTATCTAGTCTATACACTGCAAGAGATCTCAAGCATGAAAACAAGGGCAGTTTTGTCAGTTGCTATGCCGTCACCGCAGGTGTCTGATGAAGAAGGAGGCTCTGCAACTGCAAACTTGCCTTGTGCGGAGAACACCGAGAAAATCCAGTCAAAATCATCATCATCATCATCATATCATTCTCGCAGAGTGTTTAATTACTACAAGGATATACTAATAAATATCATGAAGGGTATCTGAATGGTATAATTGCAGGGATGAGTAACTCGGGAAATATACCTGTTAAAGTTACAGGGGAATTTCTTAATTAGGTGCGGTACGTTGGGCAATTAATATTTATTTTTTTATTTTTTTTTCAATCAATTGTTTAAATTCTTGGTTTTGATTTTGATGTTTATTTTCTGAATGTATAAAGAAAATTAAATATTAATAAGTAGCAGGGGTCTGTCTGCTGAAATTGAATATAGTGAGAGTATTAACAATATGTCAAGCATTTGGGAGAGCTATTTATTTATTTATTAAAATACGATAGAATTTATTAGATCGATAAAATCAAGAGTACAAAAAACACATACTGTAAATGGAGCAAAGATAGGGTGGAAATTGTTGGAATAATAGGGTATAAATTGCTATAAGATAAACAAAATAAATACTGCACATAAAACAGGTTTTTACAAAAGGAGAATTGAATTAGATGAATCTTATTGAGTCAAGGCAAGTATTGGACACTCTGACCTTAAGACAATTACGCCCCACACTGGTGCTTATGGTTCACTAGCATTCGCATCCCAAGATACAACGACTGCCCTCATGTGAAAGAAGCACTGCAATTCACAAGGAACTTTGAACCAAATTATGCAGGAACCTCTCTTTATGAAAACTCTAATGTTCTCTATATATGAAAGTCTGTATGTAGAGAATTAAATTGAATTAATAAAATTGCAGGAGGATTGCTCTATTTATAGATTATGAAATACCCTTTCCAAAAAGGTATCCCAATCTGAAAAGGCAAACAATGCATCTCTTGGTCTGAAAAGTTGTCACCCCAAACAATGCATCCCTTGGTTTGAAGAGTTATCACCCCCAATTGAAGATGTCTTTAACCCAATGAATTTTATTAATTTCCATTCAAATAGGAAAATTAATATTAGTTAATATTAAATTTCCAACAGAAATGACCAAATAAGAGGAAAGCCAAGATGTGGTGATGAGACGAATTTCAGGAAACCATACATACACCCAAACAATTTCCAAATAATTTCCAATTTTATATTTTACACCTAAAAAGAGCACCGGTGGGAGCCAAAGGGCAACAAATTGAGACCATGGATGTCAACTGGAAATGGTGTCCTTTCAAAGCCCTAAAAGCCACTTGGCCGCCTCCTGCCTTCAAGAGCCCAATTCCAAATCAAACTCAAACACTAATAAAAACGGCACCGGAAACACAATAAATAAACACAATTTTCAATCACCCTTCCACTCTGAATCGTTCTTTTTGTGCCATGGCTCTTGTCTGCAAGCTTCAATCTCTGTCTTCCTCTTTATCTTCGACCCATTTCAGAAAACCCAACTCCTTAAACCCACAACCCATTTGTTCTTTACACTTCAACTCCTCTTCTAATTCTTCACCTTTTACAGAGAAGACTTCTATTGAGAGATACCAGAGAGACCAATGGCTGTACAAGAACCAATTGGATCAAGCCCACTCTATGCTCTGTCCCACCAGATTTGGATTCTATAAGGCAAAATGACATTGCTTTGCAGCTACCGGAGCTGAGAAAGCTGCTTCAGGTGCTGAGAGAGAAGAGAGAGAGCGAAGGAGGGTATGGGCAGCGGCAAGTGTGGGCCTGGAAATGTGTTCTTGGGTCGGGACAGGGCCTGGGGACCCTGAGCTCCTGACATTTTTTTTTTTTTTTTTTTTTTTTTTTTTTTTTTTTTTTTTTTTTTTTTTTTTTTTTTTTTTTTTTTTTTTTTTTTTTTTTTTTTTTTTTTTTTTTTTTTTTTTTTTTTTTTTTTTTTTTTTTTTTTTTTTTTTTTTTTTTTTTTTTTTTTTTTTTTTTTTTTTTTTTTTTTTTTTTTTTTTTTTTTTTTTTTTTTTTTTTTTTTTTTTTTTTTTTTTTTTTTTTTTTTTTTTTTTTTTTTTTTTTTTTTTTTTTTTTTTTTTTTTTTTTTTTTTTTTTTTTTTTTTTTTTTTTTTTTTTTTTTTTTTTTTTTTTTTTTTTTTTTTTTTTTTTTTTTTTTTTTTTTTTTTTTTTTTTTTTTTTTTTTTTTTTTTTTTTTTTTTTTTTTCCCCCCTTGGAAAAGCTGAAACTGAAATGCCTCTCTCAAGCTGCTGTACGCCACCACTCCACCTTTTGACAGTGTGTTCGAGAATTCAGAGCAGAAGCCCCAAAGAACCAAGCCAATCTCATCTCTCTTCTTGGTGACAAAGACCTTCTACTCTCTCAGCTGGTGCCCTGGTAATTATTTAATTTACTTCAAAATTGAATTTTCTTTTCAGTTTTGTGTGTTCATTTTATGCGATAAAATTACAATTGCCCGTGATAGAGTTCTTTTGAAATTTTCGATACTATTGTAATTTCTTTTCACATCAGAAAAGTCAAGTCTAAAAAATTATCAACAGGCTGAGAAAATTGATCTGGACTCTCAGAGGTTCACATTCAAAATCCCATAATTTTAAATCACTAAGAAATCACCATGTTTGTGTCTTCAGATGTGTAAATAGTGCCCCCAGCTTCACCTTTTTTAAGAATTTAGTGATCGTTGACTTCTTCCAGTTCACTGTCAGATTGACACTGAGAGACTGATCTGCTCTGCTCACTTGTATACAATTATGAATTCCAAATTCTACATAAACCTTCTCATGAATTTTCCGATACCTTTATTTGATTCAAAATCTTAAATTCTTGCTAGGAAGAGTGTTGGTTGAAATTTGCCTTTAGACATCTTCTTTCTCACCATGGACCCCAAGTGTATGTTAAGAAAACAAGGAAATTTCTATCATCCTGTGAGGGCATTTCCATCGATTTAGGAGGAGCTTGGGTTCTAAGGGGGGCTCTGGATGAAAATAGATGCTCCGTACATGTTATATATCGAAGAAGAAAAGAAAAGGCAAGTTGCTTCTTGACTGTCAGTTTAAGAATAGCTTCAATGTGAAAATGGATTCTTGGAGCAAGTTAGCAGAGTCTTCGTCTAAAATCTTGCGTGATGATTGCTCCTAGAGGAAAGTAGTTTCTTGCATGTCCTGATCATCCATGGTTAGAAGGAAGGAAGGCTATCAAATGTCAGACCTGTATCAGATCTCTTCAAATTTCCTGGTGGTAGTTTGCATATCTTTGAATCAGCACAGAGTGACAAAATGGATCATGATCCCAATCCTATTGAAACTTGTGGTGGTGGTGCATCCTCAGAAATGTTGAATCCGAAACACTGATTTGCTATGTCACCGAGTAGAACAACCTGTAAAAGAACTAGTTTCATGCTTCTCCTGCTAAAGACTGCATTGAGAAATACTTGGCAGGAGGATTCTCCCATTTATGAGATTTTTTTAAAAACGTAAATGAAGTGTGCAATCGTGTATGTCACTGATTTTCCCTTCTCTGTTCCAGATTGTGTGAGAGCAGAACCTGTAATCTACAAAAAGCTGGAAGCTACAGCTGATGATGTTGCACTTCTGAGAGCATATGTCGGAGATAGACCAACATGGAGGAATCCGGTGCACCCGTGGAGAGTAGACTCAAGGTTTAAGCTGACTGGAGTTCCAACACTATTCCGCTGGGAAAATGATGCGATCAAGGGTCGCCTTGAAGACCATGAAGCGCATGTTGAAAGCAAAATCGATGCACTTGTTGCTGGAAATTAAGTTTATCGTTTGAATATCTAGTATGGTTGAATTTGCGTGTGTTTTATGACTTGTTAGGCTGGTGACCTTTTTGTACTCTGCACTTAATAGTTTAAAAATAAATAAATTCATAGTTTAGCAACAATAAAAATAAGGTGCTCCATGGTTGTTATAGCCAGTTGAGATGTTGCCTTTTACTTCTTTAGTGTTTTTAAGGATATATGCTGCAGCTTATAGCAGCCATTGTTCTGTTGCTTCTGTGAACTTGTCTGTGATTAGAGTCTTGCAGGATTCCAATTCTACAAGAATTAATAATAAATGGATTGGGTTACGAATCATGTTTGTTCATCAAATCCTATCCATATATTATTCATGTTAGCAAATTTTGGCGTTTTTGTGAAATATTCTAAGTGGCAATTAAACATACTAATTTTGTGTTAGGTTCGTACCGCATTAAAAATTTGTTTTCACATATATATTGTTTCGTTCTTGAAATGCATGTTGTCTAATGTCTGACAACTACTTCCGTAGGACTCAATAAGGGCATGAATCAGTAGTAGCATCCCATATTAAAGGAGTGAAAGATTTGGGTTTTTCATTGTTCAAATGTGTTTTAACTCATAGTTTAATATTCTTTCTTCTTTTTCACTGTCAGTTTAACCTTTCTCCTTAATGTTTCGACCTTTAAATATAATTTCCATATCCATATTATGCATATCTTGAAATATTGGAGGATATTAAAATAAGAATGCTGCTATTTCCACACTCATTTCTTGACATGACATAATTTGGTACAAAAACAACCCAAAAATATTGCAATGTCTATAGTCAAATTCCACCAGATACAAATATACCCAATTGAATAGGAGTCAAACGAACTCAGAGATGAAACTATATATTTTACCAAAGAAACAATTTCCTTCATAGCTACAGAAGCAGAACAGTAACATATCCATGGAGCTCAGCAATAGCTCCTCCGAGCCCAAAATCCACCAATTACCTACTTAATCCCTCAACATCCTATACAATACCATATTCACAAGCTCTCAATTAAATCTTGAGCAATGCTTTCAACTTCATAAAAGAAACTTCTCTTCCCGTTGAAGAATCCAGAGCCTCCCTCGTCGTCCTCCTCATTAAGCTCCTCTCTCTCCGGTTCCCCCAATATCCCTATAGTTCTTCTAGTTCGAATCACGGAAAGCTAAGCATTACATAAGATTAGCAAGTAGAGCCTTGATGTTCCATGTGTCTTTCAATGAGAAGTTTGGAATTGTGTGAAAATTAAATCTGGAATTTTCCTCTAATTTCATTCACTTGAATAATGATAATTGTAGTAGTTTTGCTTTTATACAAGATAGAAACTTAGCTATGAATAACAACCTGTAACTAACATCTAACAACATAGTTAAGCTAAACATGACAGGTGTCATCATCTGAGCTTTCTTGATCTTGCAGGTTCAGAGTTGTTAGTATGAACTTGTACTAATGGCTGAGATATACTTGTAACATCTTTTATCCGTGTTATGAATTCCAAGCTTCCCAAGTTATATGGGTTTGAATTTTGAGTTTGGTTGACATGGTGGTCACGCACTTGTGTCGATGTGCCTATGGTGGTTGATGGGGACTCTCATGGTTCTTTTTGTTCAATTGCTTTGAGCCTTTCTTTGCAATTTGGAGTCTTTTTGTGGACTATTCAAGGACTTATTAGCGCATCCACAATTATACGTTTTATTTTTTAGTTAAAATTTAGTTAAAAATATATAAAATCTATTTAAGAGCTATAGTTTAGGGAGTCATAAATGCTATAACTCTTTTTCAATTAGTCCATCTCATTAAAAAAATAATATAAAAATAGTTAGCATTAATTAAAAGTTTAAAATAATCATAAAATAAAACAACATTTAATTATAGGGAGCCACTAAGAGTCCTTTCTCTCTCCTCGGATTTAGGAGCTCCTAGAAGTCTCCCTATTTTAGGAAGTGGCTAGGAAGCATAGTTGGAGCTATATTTTTCCAAGGGACATTTGGAAAAAGCCAAAGGAGAGAGAAATATTTTGGAAAGAAGCCAAAATGGACAAAAATGCCCTTATTTATTTTTGGATTTCATATGAAATCATTTACATTTGCATGTCTTTGATTTAAAAGTTGATGAGTTTTTTCTATCTTTTTTGGAAAAGTTTTGGCTTTTTTCCAAAAGTGAAATTTTTTTTTGGCTAAAACCTAAATTTACTTTTTTCCAATTCCTCCCTAAAATTTGTCTAAAGAGATGGTTTAAGGAGCCCATTGTGGATGCTCTTAGGCCATCTCCAGTCATAGGGCTAAATGTAGTCCATGGCTAAAAATTTAGCCCTCCAAAATATTAATTTTTAAAGAATAGTGCAGGGCTAAATTTTTCCATCTCCAGCCATGCAGGGATATATTTTAGGGTCCTTCATATTTTATTATTTTTAGAAAAATTATGGTACAATACTCATACATTCCACAACTATGTATTGTTTAATTTAATTAAACTACTATTTAGAGACAATATTCCATATATGACAAGATTTCCGATAAGATTTTGTGTCCACGTAGCATGTCTTATCCTGAAGGAATCTTATAATTTTTCGGGCTATGATTTTTGATTGACACGTGTTGAATTTTTATAATTTTTTCTTAAATAATATGAATTGAAACATTCAAACCATTTAAAAAGTATGTGTTTAAAACATGAATTTAAAACATTTAAAACATGAATTGAAAACATTGAAAACATTTTAAACATTTAAAAATTGAAAACATAATTTTTCGGGCTCCAACAGTCATGACCAGTAATTTTTTATAATTTTTTTCTTAAATAACACAAATTGAAAACATTTAAAAAGGTGACTACACTTAAAAAAAAAATGGATGGGTTTCAATGGTCTGACCATTAATTTTTTTTTTAAATTTTTCTTAATCAACATGCATTGAAAATATTTAAAAAGGCTTATATATATAAATATATATATATATATATCCAGCTGACATCATCAATGACGTCAGCACTTTTAATGTTGGCTATTAGATATGCATTTACACATACATGGGGCCCACAAGAATTTGGCCTAGGCCAAAGTTGGGTTACATGTAGCCTTGTTGGAGGGCTAAAGAGCCAAATGCGGCCCTTCAATTTTAGTCAAAATTTTGTTTAGCCCATAACTGGAGATAAGTTTTGCATTATTTTAGGGCTATATTTGGGATATAGCCCATGGCTGGAGATGGCCTAAAGGGCCAAATGTGGCCCTCCAATTTTAGTCAAAATTTTGTTTACCCCATGGCTGGAGATGAGTTTTGTACTATTTTAAGGCAATATTTGGGATATAGCCCATAACTGGAAATGGCCTTAGTCCTCGTTATATCAGTTCTTGTTTTATCAAAGACCAACTATAAATTCTCAAGTTGAACCACTAGTAGTCCCTGTTCTTGAATTTCCTCATGGGTATTCTCCTGAAATTTTACTTGTTCTGCAACAACCAAGTTGAACCACTAGTGGTTCTTACAGTTCTTGAATTTCCCCAGGCCGCAAGATATGTATGCTCTCGAATATTGTCTCTCGTCTACCCACCCTGAGGGTGTATCTATTTGCAACCATGGGCTTGGTATTCAATTTGTATCCTCGTCACGATCATCACGAGGTAGACATAAAACCAAAACTAACAAACCCGGAGTATTGTTATACGTATTCTAATAATCATTCTGTTTATTGAATCCTGAACGTTTTTCCTCCGTAATATAATTTAGTTGTTTCAATTTATTTTATAGTATAATTGTTATGGATTTTTTTTACCGAAATACTCTATGAACTTGTACCTATTTTGAGGTAAATTAGTCCTATTGTAACATTTTCTGTTGGTTTTAACCACATGGATGGCGCATACTAAGGCATGATGAATTGAGAGGTAAAAAGTTCAATGAATAACTATGTTGCAGCGAGAAAAAATGGCAAACGAAGAAAAAGAAAACCTGCATGAAAATACCTTTTATTACAATATGAGTACAATAATTTACACCACAACCTCTACTAGTTACACATGTGGGCTACTAGACTTCTCTACAAGGTCAAAAATTCCGTTGCAACTTAACTTGTTTACAAACTAACACTGCATCATTCCCTTCCTCGTGCTTTGACCTGGCAACGCCTGCAATCCACAGAAAGTAAAACTTGGCACCGTATTTCTAAAAGGTAAAGCAAATTACGATTCACACTAAATGTGCAACATATGCATGTTGGCGCAACGTTCACGCACAAGTAAAACATGAAATGGAGAAAGAAAAAACCCAACGCACTAACAATGACAAATTGGTTTCACTTTCACACACGGAGTATGCGGGCACTACAGCATATCAAATTGCATACAGAAAATACGATTGTGAAAAGACTCATTCTTACCAAAATATATTAAAGCCACCAAGCACACTGAATTACCTCAGATCATCTTAAATTTGAGCCTTCGATAGGGTTTGAGTCAATTTCAAACTAATGTCACCATAAGGTACTTCTTGCTTTACATCAACAAGGTCGAAACTCTTCAAAACCTGATGTATTGACCATGAAAACTCACATTTAGTAATATACCAAAAATGCTGCATCACCTACTTCAACAGGCAGTAAAAGTTTTGCTTGTTCAGAAAGTATAAAAGGAACAAATGACAAGCCAATTAAACAAACAAACGAAAACAGAAAGATGCATCCAATACATTGCATATTTCAGAAAATAGAAATGCAGCAAAACATTTTCTAATAGCACCAAGACTAGGAACAAGAATCAGAGATAAAATGATATGTAACGAAAAACCCAAACGCAAAGATAAAAAGATATTTAACAAAAAATATAGAATTTGAATAATTGAATAATTTTTCAATAACTAGGTTGTTACGCACACCAATTATCCCCAATTGTGCATACTTGATTTAAACCTATACAAACATTTTGCTCTATTGCGCATATTCATCTAAAATGTATACAAATAATTTGCTCTTAAAATTCTATGATGTACCCATAAGATACATACATGCTACACCAAAACTTGGAGAAATTCTCAATTTACTATCCAAAAAAGCACTTGGATTCAAAGCAAGACAACTTAACAGAAATGTATCAAAAATTTACCAGAGTTTCATAGAACATTCGGGCACATAGCTTTCTTGTTTTTCCTTCTAAGATTTTGTCTAAGCTGAGATCTCCAAATAGGTCTTCTGAGGTTGAAGTGACAGGAGATTGCCTTTTTAAATACTGAGCCACAGCCCTGCGCACCAAATGGATTAAGAAAATTAAAGATAATGAGCCACCGAGTACAGAAATACAGCGACTAACTAAACCCTACATAAAGAAAGAAAAGAAAAGATTGAAAGAGAAGTACCTGGTTCTAACAGACAATGAATCAACTGCGTGTGTTCCTTGAGATCCTGGTACTACTTGTGTCCCTTGAGATCCTGGTACAAGCATAGATATGTCATCCAAATAATGTACACAAAAGTTAGAAAAATTGAACTTAAAGAATGTGTACTCTTTTTTCATACAGGCAGCCAAGAAAAACACTATACACAATTACAGAATCATCCAAATCACTGATCAAGCAAAGGTTTCTGAGTTTACCAGCTGGTGTACTGCTATCTGCTTCCAGAAAATAAAGATCCTACAATGAAACATTTTAACAAGTTCGAGAGTTAATTAAGAGTTAACTGGTTCACAGAGGAAAACATGAAGTAATGCACTAATACCTATTGCATATGGAGAGGGGTTTCAGAATGAAGTTCTATGTCTCTCATAAGTTGATTCTCAAAACTAAAAGATAAGAAGAGTTAAAATTACATATTAACAAAATGCCTGGCAGGTTGAAAGTATAAATCTCATATTGCGGTAAATACAATTCAGTATTTTTCCGAAAAACAACCATAAAGAAATTTTAAAGACTTGAGGAAGGAATTACACATGGACCAATATTATTACAACTTTAGTCCACAAGGAAAAGAAGGTCAAAATGAACAAGGCTCAGGAGTTAGGATTATCATAGAAATAAGAATAAGATTAATACGTGAGACTCTTAATCAAAGGCGGAGCCAAATTGTGCCTAGGGATTCCACAGGCCCATGGCCCCTAGAATATAAAATAGATATAGTCATTCAAATAGAATATTAGACTTGTTCTAGTAATTGTCTTGTAGTTGTGAGTTGGGTGATACACATTCGTAGTTTTATATTTCAAACTAAGTTTTAGTTTGACTTTAGGTGATATTCTCCAACCTTGCTCTGAATGATTCAACATGTATCAAAATGCATTATCCCAAAGTAAAGGAAAATTTTGGCTTTGCCATCTTCCTCTCAGAGAGTTGGTAAAAAAGGGTTTGCTAATCTTCAAAAACCATTTCTCAAAGAAAAAAAAAACACTAATATAATTTAATTCCTTAGTAAATCTATCATGCAATTTATTGACTCCAAAAAAATATATATGAATCTGCTTAACGTTCAAATTTAACTCAAAAGAGTTACATGATAAACATTCTTTATCCTTAATGGAAATTATCAAGTGCATCATATCATATATAATCATATAAAAAATGAAAGACATCTAAATGTTTCAAAGTAAATGGATATATAGGCTTCAAAGAGCAAAGAAAACACTTAATGAACATAGATCACTCAAGGCTAAAGTTAACCATAATAGAGCTTGTTAGAGTAAGTTGTGCTCAATAAAGTGAGCTGTTTCACAAGCCTTAGGTTCTCTATAATGTATCCCTAAGCCTTACCTCAAGGCAATCTTAAATCTAATGCCTCCCACTCAAGCATAAACAAGAACTTAAGGCTTGTAAATTTCCCACAAAAGGCACAAAACAGTAAAATGAAAAGCAAAAAGAGATGTAAAAGTCAAATATAATTTATATGAAAGCACTTATAGGACCAAATACTGTATAACTTACTTCAGCTTCTGCAGTATTCCTTAAGTCAGGAGTATCTGATAGACCAGTGTTTTCTGGACCTAACTGCTCCTCAAATATTGTCCTTGGAGTTTCAAAAACAGACTCATGAAATCCAATTGAAGAGGGTAGGTCTGGTGTCTGCAGTATTTGTGTTCCAGTGCTTGTTTCCAATGGAGGAACTGAAGCTGACCGTAAGTATGGAGATGGAGCAGGCGTAAGGTCATCTCTCCTGGGAGAAGGCATGAATCTTGGTGAAGGTATAAACTCAGGTAAGATATTTTCCCCATCATGTTCTTCAACATGTCTGAGTTGATCAATTTCTGGGTTGCATTGAGTAGCAGGAGATTGTGCACCCCTATACTCTGTGGAAGCTTCAGTTACAGGAAGAGACCGTGCAACCCTACGCTCTGGGGAGATTTCAGTTGTAAAAGGACGAGGAGATTGTGCAACCCTAGCTTCTGAGAAAGCTTCAGTTGTGGGAGAAGGAGATCTTGTAGGCCTAGAGTTTGGAAGAGCTTCCTCAAACAAATGGGATTTTGTGGATATATAGTCTTTGTTGGAAATGTTACAAAGATCTGAACACAGACCTACAGGCAGACACCCAGATTAGAAATAAAGTCATTAAAATGGCAGACAAGCAGCAAGAGAAAACTAATGAAGGGAAAAGACAACTCACCACTTAATGAAGGCTGGAAGAATATTTGTTCCTTTCTTAAACTGTTGTTCAACTTCCAAACACCCAAAGCAGAGCATGGAATATTCCTCCTTTTACGCAATAAATCACTAGTATCTTGAATTGTCTTATTCATAAACCTGCAAAATTCACAACCTTATCTCAGTGACCAATACCAGAAGAAATACGGACCATATGATGAATAATACATGCAATCATACTCATTGGACAACACAAGGGTCTCATCAAAATACTGCTTTCTCTTCCTTGGTCTTGCTCTTGGCTGCTCAGGAGGTGGTGTTGGTTGAAGTTCTGCAACAACAGAAGAGAGAAACACTCAAGGTAAAAATAAAGTTGAGTCATATTGACGTTTACATCTGAAGAGGATAGTAGATGATGAATAGTAACTTTACACACCAAATGAAACATGTGTATCAATATTTTGTAGACCCTCTGGCAAAGAAGCAACAGATGCTGGTGGTCCTGAACTTGGCTGAAATAATGGAGATGGCCCACCAGAAGGTATAGTTTCCTCCATAATTGGAGAAAGAATGTCTTTCTCACTACTTTCAGGGTCAACAGATCTGTGTGGTTCAGTTACATCATCCCTGTTACTGGGGGAAACCGGAGGAAGGATTTCTGAGCTAAAATCAGGAACAGCATCTCGCAGAACTTCCATTTCTTGAACATGTTCAGGGGAACCGTCATCTCTATGCCTCAAATCAAAACTTTCTCTCTGGTTAGTTGGAACAGGGTCTTCAAAACCAACATGTTGTGGAACCTCAACTTCTGGAAAGTTTGGAAGGGTGAAGTCATCACTAAATCTTATTTGTTCATCTGTCTGATTGCCTGGACTAGGAACCCCCTCAGCTGGAGGTGTATGGACGATGCTGTAACCATGGAAACATAAAAATTACTGTACTGCTTTCTCAAAGAAAGATTTAAAATCATACATGGAAAAACTCAAATGCATTAAGAAGCATACTCCTCATCCATGGGGGGTAGCATCTGAACCAAAAACCTCTTTTGGATGTGATAGATACATCTGAATATCCTAAAAATAACACAAGCTTCAGTCAGTAACAATGCAATTCCAGTACTTCAACATTCAAACAGTAAAATAAAGGAGAGCAAAAAATATATATACTTTAAAACGGAAAAGGAATAGATGTTCAACCTCATCAAAAGTTATAGCAACATAAGGGTTTGTTCCAAACGGAATTTGATCTGTAACACAAAGTTCAAATATTTCAAGACTTTCACCAAATGAACATAAACAAAAAAACAAAAAAACAAAAAAGTAAGATGAAAATTCCAAACAGCAAGTCACTTCTACAACCTGTTAGTGTGATGTCTTCCTCACTCCTGAGATGATTATCGTGAGCCCTGAGGAAACAAAATCATTGCATCATACATCCATTTAAAAGCAGAAAAGAAAGATGGACGAAAAGGGCCTTCTGCGAATATTACCCCTCACGGAACAAGTCTGTATCCAAATCCAAAGCATCAAGGTCAAATGTGTCAGGCAAAGTGATGGATTGAACCGGTGCTTGTCTTGCATTCTCTGGCAAATTCAAGTCTATAGAAGCAAAGGCCTTTCTTAGGCTAGTCAAAACAACATTACAGTCCTGGTAAAGATAGTCGACTTTCTTCGAGTATATCCGAACAACACCTACTAGAAGGTGTCCTGACATTCTCAGTGCAATAGGAACATCCGGAAACATGATGCGATCTAATATAAGCATTCATATGAAAATTGTTAGCCAATTGCTTTTTCAACATTCAAGTTTTTATACGATTGAGAGAAAAACTGCGCACAATAGACCCACCGAACAAGAAGAGAGAGCCTAAGAGAAGGAACGCAGAATTCTAACTGAAATGAGTATGAGAGAAAGATATCCTCAAATTCAAAAGTATGACCAATTAAAATTGCATACACAGCCCACAATAAACATATATCATTCCCAAAATTGATTAAGAAATCGGAAAAGGGGAATGAAACAAAAAAATAACCAACTTTAACCCAAGCAAATCTGAATGGGTATATGATTCTGTTGATGGGGCAATCCTTACTGGACTGACCATGTGATCAAAAAGAAAAAGGAGTTCAATTCAGCGAAATTTAGAATGGATTGGTTATAATGTATGAGAAAGATTATGAATTCCGTAAATTTAAGATCTAAATTAGCATCTTACAAATCAAAACTTAATAAAAATACCAGATTAAAGAAGAAGAAAAAACACTGCGACGGTGTCACAAAAAAGTCTCAAAATTTAACAGAAGAAAGTAGCTTTGGATTCAGATTTTGAGACACCCAGAACACCAAAAAAAACAAACCCGAACTTTAAGCAAAACAAACAAAAGGGTTGTACGGACCAACGGTGGAGGGGATGTCGGTGGAAGTGTAATGGGACTTCTTTAACCTGCTCTGCAGATGCGCCGCACACCATACGGTTCCCAGTGGGCCCTTCCGAGCCAAGAACGTCTGCGAATAAAACATCCTTCGACCTTCGTCTTCTTCTTCTTCTTCTTCTACACTATTTCAATGGCAAAACTTATAAATATATAAATAAGAATAGTGCTTCGTTAGTGTTTCTGTGTGTATAAATATGGTTTATGAGAGAGAGAGAGAGAAGACGGAGGTTTTAGGGTTATTGGAGATTGAAGGAGGAAATGGGGCGCGGGAAACGAAAAATGGCGCCCATTTGGAGTGAGTTTTACGGGAATATCCCTTGTGGTTTATAAGAATTACGAATTTACGACTGTTGCCCATTTGGAGTTCTCTTCTTTTTTCTTTTCTTTTTTCCAAACGAAACGACAGATACTTTGGAAGTTTCCACTACTCAAATTTTCAAAAAACAAATCTGCTCACTTTTCAAAAATGAAAAAAAAAGTGGGTAATATCCACCAGAGAATTCAATAAAAAAAAATTATATATATCCACCAGAGAAAATTCTCAAGTTTTTCAATTGGTAGTAATTAAAGTCTGAAGATAAAAACTTTGAGCTAAACTATTTTTCTATTTTTTTTTAAATCAAAGAAATTTAAGCTAAACTTTTTTTTGTTTCCGTGTGTTTGATTCAGGCCGTAAATCTGTTTTATGATTACATTATTGTCCACGCTTTTCACATTGGGTTTCGGTTGGTTTCTCTTGCTATCTTCGTACTTTTGTAAATTGTTTCTATTTTACAGTACATCTGCTTCAACAATAACAAAAAATACTAAAACTACTTTAAAATCCTAATTAAAAAAATAGCAGATCAAAACCAACACCTTGTAAAATAAATGGAGATTCACTATAAAACCCAACATAGGAGCCCAAATTATAAAAATGCCCTATATGAAATGGACTTTAGAAACACACCCAAAACTCATTTACAACATAACAAAAAAACTTGTAACTTCTTTTAAATTACAAATTGCCATTAATTTCTTAAAACAAACCCAACCCAAAAACCTCATAAAAAAAGCTCAAAATACTTAATGGGGCATCAAAGTAATTTAATAATTAAAATTAAATTCAATAGGGCCAGCTGTCATTTTTTGAGCATTTTTTGGGTATGTTTATAGAAATTAAATGGTGTAGGGTTTATTTATAGTTTTAGTACCAATAATGAGTATTTGACTAAATATCTCTAAAATAAAAGCCAAACCAAAAATGAAAACGCAAAGTTATCAAATTAGAAGCTCATATTGTAGCTCTCTGTGTTATTCGGCTCATGTCATCTTTGAGACATTAATTGCCTAAAGAGCTCTCTAGAAGCTCCTAAATCTAATTTTCTTGTCTTTTCAAATTCCTAACTAATATTTCCAACAATAAAAAAAAATCCAAACAAATATTTATAATAAAACACACTCATTTCGTTCAAATTCCAAGCAAATACCGTAGCAAGAGATGTAATCATGCAAGAGAATTTTACCCGCAGCAAGCACAATCAGAATGCATTGAACTCTACAAATAATTCCACGAGCCAACAGTGGTCAACTGAAAAACCATTCATATAGCCGATGAGTGTTGGTTGGGTTGGTAAGGAGCATTCTCTTCGCTAGCAATGCCTAAGTTCGAGGCCCGTTATCAACAATTCCTTTTGATGGGTTATATGTAAAAACCAAAAAAGGAGTTAAGGCCTTAGTATGCCTTGACCTTGAGATGGGGCAGCCTCCCCTCCCCAACTTTTTTTCACCCCAAAAAAAAAAACCATTCTTATAATCTAATAAACCAGCTCAAGTTCAACCAAATCTACAACAACGAAGCTTGAGCAAAATTACTTGAACACAAAGGACGCCCGAGTTTAGTTCAAATTCGAGACAATTTCAACCAAACCCAGCTTGAACAAACCAGATTTGTATTACGCTGTTTAAACCCGTATTGGTCAGAGAACCATCACAAGATGCACTAATCATGCCATGTCATTCTCATACGTTTTGATAACTATAAATCCAGACAGCTTCTACCAGGAACGGCTAGAAAATATCAAGGTCTTGACAAAATCGTTCATTAAGATCAAAACCAGTAGAAACTAAAAAAAACACTGATTTTTGTTCCATAAATAGCCTATCCTAATTTCTGATACAATAGATACAAGTACAATCTCTCCAAAACCAAGTGTTCTGCCAGCTTTACTATGCCTTGTTTACACGAATTCGTTGCCCTTCAAACAACTGCAAAGAACAGTAATTAATAGAAATAAATTGTCTAACCGTGAAAAATTGGATACCAACTGATCAAAATTGCTAAGGAAACAAAAGCTCAAACAGTTCCAATTATTTGCAATACAGGAATAATCAGTTCCAGGAAACTAGTGAGGAAAGCAATATCCATCCTAATGAAAACATAATCACCATACTTCATGATTAAATTATTGTTTGTAACTTGTGAAAATCAGCAGGATGGAAACCACAAGGAAGTATAAATCATGGATGGTGGGAAAGGGTATTTTGATTCGTGATAGATATCATACAAGAATTAGCAGCAATTTATGCAGACAACAGAAGCAACTAGAGACAAAATACACCATGCACCTGCAAATTTGAAAATTGGCTAGTAATTCTAGCTTTTACGTCATTGATTTTCAATAATGGTTTATGTTGCCAGTCATATGAAAACTTCCATAAGAACATATAGAAGAAAGAATAGCAGGCAATTTATATGTATGTATAGTTTGATTCCCAGCTTCCTCTAAAATATGGAACAACAGCTAGAAACTTACAGTATTGTTGAAAGAAGAGATGGCAGCTTCTACATCCTCCTCCAAGGAGAAAGAAACAAACCCAAAACCACTAGATTTTGAAGTCCCTGGAACCCGGGAAACCTTTGCGCTAAGAACTTTTCCCTTCTCAGAGAAGAGGGTTTTGAGTGTATCCGTAGTTACTTCCTTTCCAAGATTTCCAACATACACTTTATGGGGGCTGTCAATGAATTGAGACTCTTCTGCCTGAAGAAGTGATACGTCCGCTTGTAGCAGGGGTTTCTCAGTTATGTTTACTTTGATTTCACGTCCTCCAATCTCCTGTATTAACAACCAGATGGAATTAATTCGTTTTTGACAATTAATAAAATTTTACTAAACAAATTGAAAAAGTGCCGATAGAGGGTAGAGGAAGTATACTTTATACTGATGAATTCTTTAACAGTGTTTGAATCAATATAAACGTATGAACCTTGGCAACACTTACAGTTCCATTCAGTTTTTCAACAATGGAATTTGCATCTTCAACAGTCTTTGCTGTAACAAATGCAAATCGGCGACTTCTTCCAGAGTATTTATCAAACATCACCTATGACCAAAAGGAAGGGAGGAAAGTCATCTCTTTTATTTCTTTTCTATGTTATTTATATTACAGTCAACAAAAAAAACCAACATTCTATATATTGAAAGAAAGTTGCCAAATAATCCTCATTCTCTTGCTCAGCCATACATATCTACCAACTTGGATTTTACAATAGTAAATTCTTCACATTGATACTTGCACAAGCATTTAAAATACTTCAGCCAATATTTTCTGGTAAAAGCTTACTGGGTTACTAGCAAATCCTCAGTTATCTCAAGTACGTGAAAAGAGTAAATGGTTTGACTGTCAATGACAAATATAATAATAGAAGATCAGGAAAACATCTCCAGAAACAGTAACAAGGTCTTGGCATGCTGCTTTACAAAATCAAGATGAAATTATAAGTAGAACGGCTCAAAAGATATTGTTAAAGCACCAGATTAGGATCATATGTTTTGATAGCTGCATTATCTTCGAGCTTTCAGTGTTGTCATATATTGATATGACTACATGTGAATTATTTGTCATTGAAAGAAATTATCAAAATAACTAAAGATTTGTGACAGGCGAAATCAAATTCATGAGAAGATTTTATGCATATACTAAGGGTATTGCTGGTAATGACCAAGATTGAAGTATTCAAGCTCATGAGGTTAAAAATACGATTCCCAGGATGAAGTTCCAACTAAGCTATTAGTCCACTCTTATTATTCAACATCACATTTAGAATCTAGAACTGCAACTTTGAATGCAATTGTCAAACCGGACAGACACCATATGCATGTAAGTAAAACCTATTGGCAGCCTCGGGTTCGTATACCAGCTGACGGAGGAGCTCCACCCCACCAACCGTTGTAAACTACTCTTAGTTCAGTTCCAATCAACGAATTACCATGCAACACTGAAGTTCCCTTACACCAATTAAGCTAGGGTGCCCATGATGCTACATATTAACCCAACCAACCTATTCTTCTCAAGCTAACTAATCCAATACTAATATGAACCCAAACATAAATGTAGTGGCTGCCAAGTATCAAATACTTATCATACCGAGTTCTCAAATCTTCAATAACCCAACAATTAAAAAACCACAAAAATGCATGGAAAAACACAAAAACGAGACAGAATAAATAAATAAAATAAAATAAAATGAAAAGGAAAAGCCAAAAACCTCAGCCTTCTCTACAGCTCCGTGTTCTTCAACAATTTTGGTAAGCTCAGCATTATCCACAGTCCTGGGAATGTTGCCAATGTAAACTCTCCTGGCCGCTTTAGAAGACGGGTCGGCTGCGACTTCTTCGGCAACAGCAAAGACTCTTTGTGAATGTCGGGGGGTCAGAATCATATAAGAGGAAGTGAGTTTGTGAAAGCCCTGAAATTGGGTTGGTTTGAGGATTTGGAGAGACAGTTTTGGTGCGGCTTTGATGGGTTTTGTGGGATGGTGAAGGAGATTGGGTGGTGATAGTAGGGATGAGATTGTAGCCATTTTTTTCCTGGGCTATTGGTTGTGATTATGGACAAGAGGAGAAAAGTGAATGGGGTTCCAAAGCAGAGTGAAAGAGTGAGGGTGGGAAAAGAGCTCAGACTGAGGAGGCTTCAATTTCATTATCTCATTATCTAGCTGGGATTTTGGTCCAAGGTATCTCACCTGCGGGTGAGATATGATTGAACTTCTTTTTCTTTTGTAGTAAAAGTAAATTACTTTACTAAATAAAATATTAAATTACATTTTTTTTATAAAAAAGATAGTGAATTGCATTTTAAAAAATAATAAATAAGTAAATTAAACATAAATTTTAATACCAGTGAGAGTCTAAACTAGTCCAAATTAATTATAATAAGAAAAAAATATTCGAATTTGAGTGCAAAGGATAGATTCGCTGCCCTAATTAAAACAATAAAAATTAGTGTTCTTGAGTTTAGTATATTATCGAGATCAACCCCTTAATAGGAAGTTTGAAATAAAAAATAAAAAATTAGGCTTAGAAATTATAGAGACCTAATTGAAATGGAGCTGGCCAAAATGGTCATTTCCTTCCTTGTGAGTTAAAGTGATAGCGAGTACCCATTTTGCAGGTAGGTCTGAGGGTTTTAAGGGTTCGGCCCATATATATACACACCAGTTTCTTACTCAGTGTTTGTGGCTGAGCCTTTCGGAGACGGAGAACCAGTGAGAGACTCTTACAAAGATTTCACGATGGCGCCGAAGCAGAGGACCCCGAAGGTGACCCGAAACCCAGATCTGATTAGAGGGATTGGGAAATACTCGAGGTCGAAGATGTACCACAAGCGAGGGCTTTGGGCTATCAAGGCCAAAAACGGCGGCGCTTTCCCTCGCCACGACAAGAAGCCCGCGGCTGACGTCCCTGCTGTGAAGCCGCCTAAGTTTTACCCCGCCGATGATGTCAAGACGCCACTGGTCAACAAGCGCAAGCCCAAACCCACAAAGCTCAGGTCCCTATCTCTCTGTTTTTCTGTATCTATCTCTATGGATTTGTGCGCATTTATGTATTTATCAATGGGTTTCTTTGACTGTGTTATGTTATTGGGTTTGGTTTCCTTTTTCCGTAATGTGGGGAAATGGTTTGAATGGATGCCTTAATGTGTGTGGATTCGGAGAAAATGTGTTTACCTGTGAGCTTATTTTTTCTCTCTTGTGAGTGACTACTTTTTTATCTGATTGGTGTGTGCATTCTATTAAGTTCTGTTTATTGGGATTCCTTCTTTGATTTCCAATACCCATGTCAATTATGAAAAAAGAAATTGGGAACATAGAAAGTGAAGATATGCATTGGACGGTCCCCTTGGTTTGGGGTTTGAGAAAGTATTTACTTTGTTATTTGAGTTTTGTTTTTCCCCCTTTGGGTGTTTGAGGATATTATCATCTTTCCTTTGTTCAATATTGGTTAGGATATAGAGATTAGAAGTTAGATATCTTTTTTTACCAAAAAAACATAAATTGTGAGATGGGAATGTTTTATTTTCTTTTTCAGTTGCTTACCTTAAAGCGGAAGTAAATTGTTTATGTTTGAGAAGCAGTTTTTGATCTTCTGTAATCTCTCTATGTTTTTTTTGTTTATATCGTTAGTAATTTTTTGGTATTTTCTTTTCTTCATATCTTGTAGAGATAGCATTACTCCTGGTACTGTGTTGATCCTTCTTGCTGGGAGGTTCAAGGGGAAGAGGGTTGTGTTTCTGAAGCAGCTCTCATCTGGCTTGCTTTTGGTCACTGGTAAGTTCTCTTTTTTTCCTTGATTAAGTTTTTGTTTTTTTCTTGTATGTTATTGGTGCAAGAACAATGATGAAAAAATGCTCTTTCATCTGTTTTAATTCTTTCTTATCAAATTTATTAGTGCTTAATGTTTGTGTCAATTGTTCTGCTGGTTGATTTCATATGGAGATGATTATTTGGTTTGATCAAGCACGTATGTAATACAAAGAAAAACATGCTTTGATGAAGTGTTGGTCATTCAGTACATGGAACAAGGTCATTGTTTACATGTGTGATAAAAGTGATTAAATTTTGTTAGTGTGTTTGAATGGAAGTTCAATAGAGCCATTTGGCTGTGCACGTCTGTTTTGAAAAGAACCATTAGGCGGTGCCAGATGATGTGATTTGTAGTTTTGTTGAGCATTTCCCTTCCCTTTTTTTTTTTTTTTTTTTTTTTTATCCCTGTGTGCCTTAGATTTCAAAGTTGGAGTGTTTCTAACTGTCGTTCTTTCTTGTCATTTCAGGACCATTCAAGATTAACGGTGTTCCTCTTAGACGTGTGAACCAAGCTTACGTGATTGGAACTTCAACCAAGGTTGACATCTCTGGGGTTAACGTGGATAAGTTTGATGACAAGTATTTTTCAAAGGAAGTCCAGAAGAAGAAAAAGAAGGGTGAAGGCGAGTTCTTTGAAGCAGAGAAAGAGGTTGGGGTTTTTCTTTATTAAAAAAATCTTTTATCTTTTTTCAAGTGTATACTGTCTATGGTTGTTCTTTGGCCGTCTTTTTGTTCTTTTCTTCTAACCTTTGATTTCCTTCTTCAAATTGTAGGAGAAAACTGTACTTCCACAGGGGAAAAAAGATGACCAGAAGGCTGTTGATACACCATTGATTAAATCCATCGAGGGAGTTTCAGATTTGAAGACTTATTTGGCTGCAAGGTTTTCTCTCAAGCAAGGCATGAAGCCTCACGAGCTTGTTTTCTAGATTGAAGAAACTGAAAAGTGTTAGATTTTGCTTTTCTATCCAAAATTGTTCCATTTTTGTTTGAACTTGATCTTAGTGGTTGTACTCTTAAGTTTAATTTGTAATTGACATCTAATCGGATGTTTACTTTAGATCATGCATTGTGCGAATGTTTTTTTTCCTTTTCTATTTTATTAAAGGAGGTTTGAACCTAGGATCTCTACTCTCTCCCATTTCATGCCATGTTTTCTAATATTACAGCCTTAGTGCGGTCATGTGAGATGATTAACTTCTTGGTTGCTTAGGGTTTAGGATAATATTATGGAAACCTTTCTTTTGGGGTGCTTAAATTGAAGTATAAAAACAGAATTCTTAGGATAAATGCGTTGAAGATGTAAGGAGCAGTAGCCAACAAATTGAAAACCGACATGACGAGTATAAAACTCAGCTACAATACAAGAATAATTTACATTGTTCATTGTGTGATCATGGTTCTATTTTATTGAGAGGGGAGCCCCTGTTGTTACAAAGGGAATTCAAACAGGGCATTTATTCAAACTCAAACAAGGTTAGATGAACAAGGTTACATGAACGTTACAGTTTCCACAGGACTTGCCACAAATTAGTTTCAGAGTAAGCTGTCGGTCTGAGCGGGCAATCTCCTGAAGAAATTGCTGGGTACAGAAGGCAGTTTGCTTCGGAACCTGGGGTGCCTCAAGTAATACAGCCCTGCAACTAAAGCAACCACTCTAAACGGGGCCACATAAAGAACCACAGATGCACAAAGGCAAAACAGTATGAAAAGGCTGGTTGCTCTTGGGTCTCTCCAGCTCAGTAGAGACTGAAATCTCTCCCCTTGTGTTGCTATGTCACCTACAACTGTCTGTATCCTTCCTGCTACACTTCTGATCCTGTCGTACCTCATTCGAACTATATCGTGGGGTCTAGAGCTCGGAAATGTGTCAAACTCTTCATCAAGCTCATCCGGGTGAACTGACTCTGCCCATGAAAGCTTGGTATCCATGTGAGGAGGATGTCTAGGCCTGAACCTGTAGTTCCACATTCCAATGAGGAACATGTAGACGAAAAGAGTTGGAAGTATCAACTCCGGGTAGCAAATCAATATCAGAAAGAGAATGTGGACAAGAACTGTGGTGACCCCGTTCTTCCAATTGCATACATCACCAAGCCACCGGCTCATAGAAAACATGGCAGAAAGTAGTGACATAATTCGAAAGAAGTTAGCTTTGCTTCTTCTCATGCTCCACATGTGAGAATCAACATCTAACATGTACTCCACCACTTCTTTCCTAAGAGGTGGCTCAGCTCTGCCAAGTCTCACTGCTACAATATTCATGGCTTGGTATCGTAGATTATCGACTTGGTTCACTGTGAAAGGATGCAAGTAATGCATTTTTGGCAGCAAGGGGTGCCCATAAACATATATCATGTTAGCAATAGAGAGGGTGGTGAATCGAACTGCTAGTTGGAGCTCTCCCATTTTCTTCACTCCATTAGGCTGTAGAACTAGGAGTGGGTACGAATGTGTGTACATCCGATGAGCTTCAAGTGTTGATAGTCGAATACGTACCTTCCCAATTCGTGAATCTCTTGTTGCATTGCCTGCAGCAGGTGTTTGTTTCTCACCTCCACCTAGGTTGCAGTTATCGAAAACTCCCAATGTTATCACGGTGCAGGGGTCGTAAACTTCCCATGTGTACTGCTCATTCCATTTAGGATTGAATGTGTCAAGAATTGTTCTGGTGCGAACCCATTTCTGGCCGTACTTGGCTACACAATAAGCATCTGTGCTCCCTCGGCCATCCTTCATCTTCATTGGAAGAAGCCCTTGTGCACTTAGAATGCCCACTTCCAAAATCCCAACAGGCTGCTTCCAAAGCTGCCTTGCTGTTGGCCTTTGATCACTTATATACATGGTTGATTCATCTAGTACATGGTATCCACCTTCAAGACAAACTCTCAGGTGAATTCTACTAGAAAACTTGAGCTCCTTCCTCCTATCAGGCTCCAAGATACCAAAACCATACTTCTCAAGATTGAACCAGCGAGAATGAACTGGCCTGTGGTCAAGCCGCTTCTCAAACATGTCAATTGGCATGCTTATTTTCCCCAACACCTCATCTTTCGAAGGGTGGACTCGATCCTCGACTGTAATAACCAGTTGCTCCTCAAAAGGCTCAGCTGCCACAAAGACTAAATCTTCATTCCATAATGGATTAGCAGTCCGACTTGGGCATATCTTGGTCCTGAGCATTTGGTTTCCAACTTGAGCTTTGACAAAGACTTCTGGGAGGCGGCTTCTGTCATTGGGCAGCACATCCTGAGCTTCAATCACATTCACCCTCAGGTACCATAGTTTTGGTGATACATATACCTTTGATCTGATATTAAAAACACCCTCACCATAGACAGCTGCAGCATCTGAATGCCATGCATCTGGAAAGGCTTCATCAGCCTGTGTTCCCATCCAAACTGCAAGCATGATCTCACCCCTTACCTTCCCTTCTCCGCGGCGGTGCTCTAGTCTGTACCACTGAGGAGCCAGTTGGCTGTCAGGTGGAACTCTGGTTGGAACCTCATTCAAGTCAAAAACCACCCTTCCAAGATAATCATCTCTTCCAATCATCTCCTTATCTTTGACAAAAACTTCTACCACTGATGATTGAATTCGATCTTTTGAGAAAGCAAACACCTGGTTCCACTCTGGATTCATTTTCCTCTCAAAATGCCTTGTTCTTCCCTTATAGTTTCCCAGCTTTACTTCCACGTAAGGATCACAGCTTCCGGTAATGGAGCTGGGAGGGAGTTCTTTGGCTTTCACAACGCGAACAAAAAGATAAAACATTTGTTCAACAAGGTCATAAGTGCTTGTAAATCTCTCACCACTCATCCATCCTCTTCCCCCATGTGCTCCACCATTTGGCCATCTCTCACCGAGCTGTGGGTTGGTGTCTTTCAGTTCATAGTCATCTTGGTGGTTATGATGGGCTTCCGGTTGAGCTGGCCGCATGGTTAATGGGAAACCTTGATGTTGTATTTCTACTGATTTGCCTGGTTGCTGCAGAACTTGATGCTTGTGTATGTGATGCGCTGTTTCAGCTTTTACTTCAACTGGCTCTTTTATCTCCTCCTTTGGATCTTGTGCAGGATCACTAATGCTAGACCCGGCTGCTGCAGCAGAAGAATTTGTTTCAATCAAAGCAACCGCAGCAACTTTTTTGTTGAATTCTGCTGTGATAACTGTAGTGTTATCTACTACAGGGACTTTTTCTTTGGGAATAGTAGCCAATACTTTGCTATTAGTTCTAGTGCTTTCTGTATTTGGAGGAACAGAGGGACTAGAAGTTGGGTGTTCTGGTGGTTGTTGAGAATTAGAAGGAGAGTCTTCTAGTAGTTGTGGTGGAGAATATGGAGGAGATTTTGGTCCAGGTTCTAGTGAAGTATATACTTTTAAACCAATCTCACCCTTGACGGATAAGAAAAACCACTTTTTTTCTAACTGGAATCTTTGATAAGCTTTCTCACTTTTCGTGACAATATTTGAGCAAGGAATTCTTACTCTTCCAAGGAAGTTTCGGCCAGGAGTAGGTGATCTCCTCTCATGGTAGACAGAGGCTTCAATGGTTTGGTGATGGAAGTTTCGTGTTTGGTCGATATCAAAGAAAAGTTTGTGGTTCCAAATGGGGTTGAGGTTCTTTAAAACAGTTTTGGTTCGGCTAAGCTTGTTTACAAAATCAACTTCTACAAATGGACTAGCAGACCCTTCACCGTCTTTGGGCATAAGATCACGAGCATCTACCACTTCTACTACCAGCTTCATTCTCCTTTTGCTTACTTGGCTGCCGTGAGAATCTAGAGGAAGTGACACCCCTCAAGCAATCTGAAATAAGCTTCAGAAGCAAAGAAGTTTTATGTAGGAAGGAACAAAATTAAAAAGAAAAAAAATGGGAATGTTCAGGTTCTTTCTCTTGCACTGTGGTACTATGCTATTTTGGTGAAGCAAAGAATGTTTTGATGAAGAAGCTGCCGTGCCTGTCAGTTCTGTTATAAATCGAAAGATAGCCGAAAAAAAATGGAGGGAAGCCTTAAACTTCTTATAAAGTGTGGGAAAGTCTGTCATTCATATAATTCTCAAAGAAGGCAATATTATCTCATTAATTTTGTCCCAAATGCTTCAAGCAAAATTTGTTTTATTTTATATTACTTCTGCATTGCTTGGGAATCATCTCAATTCTGTTTCTTTTTTGTTTGCTGAGGTAAGAGCCTCTTAACATGATGAAGAATTAAAGCTAACTTTTGTGTTTTTTATATACAAAACGAATAAAATGTTCTCGAGGCCTCTGTAAGAAACTTACATGGATAGCTTTTCTTTGGCATGAAGAATCAAATCTCAGAGATCCTTTTCTTCTTATGATCAAGGGTATAACTGTCATCTGATTAAAAATTTATTCGCTTGAATCTGTGTGTGTTGAAGGGACATCCCTTTCTTGGCTAGGCAGCAATCTGAATGTCATGAAGTGTAAAGTAAAGAAAGTTAGGAAAAGAAAGGGCTATGAAAGGCATAGTTGGAGCCTAAGAAAGAAAGAAAAAGCAAAAATCTGAAGCTGCATGGTTTATGAGTTGTGATCAAAGATGCTTTGCTTTCTGCTTTCTACTCTCTCTTACCTTCAACTTATTTATTATTGTTGCCTCCCTCATTTTGATTCTGTCCAAGTTTTGGTTTGTCATTATTATTTTTTCTTTTCTACTTTAACCATTGCATTGTTAGGAAGACCATGTGATTCATTGCTTGACTTCATTATGTTTTTTGAATATTTGAGTGTTGTTGCTTTGTTGGATCATGTTTTTGAATATCTGACTGTTTGAACTTTCGAACATCATATTAACAAAAGGACTCATATTTTGAACTTGTGCTCGTATCGTAGATGAAAATATTTTATTTAATTGAGCCAATGATGGGGTGGAACATGAGGCAGATACCTTCGAAGGATTAATATTAATTACATACTTACTGAATCACACGTTCTGCCAAACATTAACTTGACCAACAATTCAAATTTGTTTTATCCACAAATTTCCAGTGGCTAACGTATACAAATACTTAATGCAATTCCTGAGCGAGAAGGTGAGGAGAATTGGTTCGTTGTGTCGGGTTTATTTTGGGATAAGAGCAAGGATAAGTAACAGAAAACTCTTTGTGAATTCCATGTATATTATTATTCTTTCAGGACTCTCAAGAAAAAAGGTCCCTTCTTACAAGCATGGTGGATTCTATTTATAGGGGGTTTAAACAATATAATTTACGAGCCGGTCACTTCAGCTCGGAGCCTAGCCGTTTGTGTCACACTAAGTTGTCAGGTGGCGGACGGTCGGGGTTCATCCACGTCTTCATTAAAGGGCGAGTGCGAACAAAGTAGCCAACCGCACGGCTGTAGTCCCATCTGGTCAGGCGGTGGGTTAGGTAGTTCACACGTGGCTTTTGAGAGGACATGGGCACTCTTTCTGAGGTGGGGCGAACTTCTTGTCAGGAGAGGTCTTGTCGTCGACATGACTGATTCGTATCCTTCCGAATGTCCCCAAGGTAGCTCCAAGGCCGAGGCGAGATGGAGGATGGTTTGGTTGTTTTCCGCCAAGTGGTACGCAAGGTCCATGTGTTCTGTTTTCATTGGGCAGACGAGCTCGATATATACCAAGCGTCAACAAAATTCATCTCACAAAATTGTGTTGTGAATCTTACAATAGATCAACCTTTCTCTATGTATTTTTTCCCCTTTTCCTTAGAATAAAATACAATAAAGTAGTGAGGGATTTTTAACTCAAGTAGTTGAGATTGTTTCTGAAAATGCTACAAGCACTTTCTGACAATGAAAACATTTTCTGATAGTGTAATTCTAGGTCACAAAAGAGCTTTCTGCTAGATGTTTCTTCAAGAATCAATAAATTTTGCACTTATAAAAAGGTCTATAAGAGCTGAAGTGCTTCCCACATAAGCATTCCCAAATGGACGGAGCTACTCATGCACCGAAGTCCTCTCTTCCAACTCCTTTCTTTCCAATATGGCTTGGATAAGAAATAAATAAAAATAAGAAATAAGAGAGCCAAGTCAAGGCATAACCTAGTTTCTTGTCATGGGTCATAGGCCAAATATAGCCCTAAAATAATGCAAAAACCAATCTTCAACCATGGGCTAACAAATTTTTTGGCCACATTTGGCCCTTTGGCCTAGACCAAATTTTTTTGTGGGCCAAGCACATGTGCTTTCTAAGAGGGGAAAGTATCACGCGTGGGCAAGAGCACGAAACATCTCGTGCAATTGTAGATCTAATAGCCAATATTAAAGGCTCATTGACATCATTGATAAAGTCTGCTAGCCATTAGGTTTTTATTTTTTATTTTTAATAACCTTTTTAAATGTTTTTAAATTCTTTTTGTTTTAAATATATATATATGTAATTGGTTTTTGATCGTTGGAGGTCAGAACCATTGATTGACAAGTTATTTTTTATTTATTTATTTAAAACCGTTTTTAAATGTTTGAAATTCATTTTGTTTAAAAATATATATAAATTAAAAAATATTGTCTCTAAATCATAGTTTAATTAAATTAAACAATACATAGTTATGAAACATATGAGTGTTGTACCATAATTTTTCTCAAAATAATAAATATGAAGAGTCATAAAATATAGCTATGCATGGCTGGAGATCGAAAAATTTAATCATCCTTTTTTTTTAATTAATATTTGGAGGGCTAAATTTTCAGCCCCGACTACATTCAGCCTTGTTACTAGATATGGCCTAACTAGGTTACCGGCAGTTGAAAAACTACAGCTTGGCCACATGACCTCAAACTGCAAGTAGCCAACGGTCTCTACCACACACGCACGCATTCACTAAAATTAGATCCTTAACACACGCTAATTATAATTATCTCTTTTTTATAATTTATTTGCAAAACAATAGAAAAAGTGTCTCCCACAAGATTGGGCCAGGGCCCTTCTCTCTCTCTCTCTCTCTTCCATCAACTACTACTAGAACCTTCGATCACTGTCTCAAAGACTCCAAATTTAGGGTTTCTCGAGGGTTTATCACAGCGCCAAAAACCCTAGAAAAGCCCAACTCCACGAAAGACTTGATCTTTTTGGGTGGTTCGTCCAGCTTTCCCAAATGGTTCGCTCCAATGGCGTCAGGCTTGCCCACTGGCTCGCTCGTCGCTCTTTTGCCTCCAACCCCATCCACAACCCTACATCCTCCGTATGATTCCTCATTATTTCTCCTTTCTTCGATATTAATTGTACTAATTATTTTCATTTCCTATTATTTTTGTTTTTCTTTTCGCTTTTTAACTTTGAATAATGTTTGATTTGCTGCCAGGCATGCGGGAGGATGCTTGGAGGCGGTTATAGGACATTCAAGACTGGGGTTTGCAACAATTCTGGGGTTTTAGGAAATTATACTACTACTAATAATGGTAGGTCAAACACCCACTTTTCGTTTTTTGAATTCTACTGAGCATTAAATTTCTTATTCCCCCCCTTTAATGGATTCTTTTGTTTTTGTTTCCTTTTCTCTTCCCTCTCCCCCCTCCTTTTTTTGCAGTTTGTAGAAAAAGTTGGTTGCTTGGAGCTCTGAATACCAATTGGTTCGCTGCAAGATCAATTCATGGAACTGGTACCAGACACATACATATGTTTTCATTTTCTTTATTTGTTCAAGTGTATACAAATATATTCTTGTTTATGCAATTGTGCACGTCAATTATTTGGGATAATTTACTCATTCAAATCCTGTCTGATTTTGACATACCATGAAACTGTGTCTTTAGTTTAAGTTGAAAAACTACGTATTATGAATTCTTTTTGGTATAAATGTTATGTGGAAAAGAACTGGAGCTCAAGGATTTCTATACTTTATTGGGTACTTTCTTGCAATATCATGCCATTATTTGTTCATTTTGATACTAAGAACATAAGTGAGTATGTGGAATTTAATTATGGGGCTTGTCCTGCCTTTTATGCGCCAGCATCTATGTCCACAAGAGATTACTATGATACACTGGGTGTAAGCAAGAATGCAAATGCATCAGAAATAAAGAAAGCTTATTATGGGGTAGGTTTTCTTTGCTTCACTTCCCTTTTTCTTAATGTACATATTTAAATACTTACTCAAGTCTTATAGCATGGATAAATGTGTGAAATCTACAACATACCTTGGACATGCAGTTAAGATTTTGGGATGCGATTCTTATTTTTTACTGTAATGGATATAAAACTATAATTCTAAAATGGTTACAACATTTCAAGTGGTTTTCCAGAATTCTTAGAAAGTTTCTATAATGTTAGTTCGGCTGTTGGAAGAATAAGAAGTGTATAATGATAAGGCATAATGTCAGTACCTATTCTAGTTAGTCAGTGGAAATTTAGTCGTTTTTCCAGCTGTACTCATTGTTTGTTGTAATCCAAATGTGTATTCTACTTCCCCGGTTCAAGTTTTTTCTGCTCTGAATCATGCTAACTTTGATCCATCATCTCCTCTATTTATTTTGCAGCTAGCAAAGAAGCTCCATCCAGACACAAATAAAGATGATCCTGATGCAGAAAAGAAGTTTCAAGAAGTTCAAAAGGCCTATGAGGTTATTTTTTCTATTCCCGAAGTTCTTGACTATTACTATTAACATACTAAAAAGCAACTTTGTCAATTTTTGTTGTAGGTTTTAAAAGATGAGGAAAAGCGTCAACAATATGATGAGGTATCACTTCTGATCTTTATCTTTATGCCTTATACCTTTGATTATTAAACAATTAACTGCCGAATACCTCCCTGATGAGATGCTTCTTGCTGAGTAGGATGTGGAATAGGTCCTTGGTATTTTGCTCGTAACACCTTGTATTTAATGTTTTTGTAAGTATTACATGACACTACATTGGATGGGGGTAAAATTTGCTTTGGTCAAACAGTTTTGTATCCATGTTGATATTTCTTGTGGTGCTAAGATATAGAAGTTTCAAGTTCTGTTTTGGTCTCTCACTTCTTCTTTTAAAATAATTTTTAATATGTGGTTGGCAGCAACACTGTTTTTCATTTATTTTTAATTGGCTTTTGAAAATTGTGATTAGCTGGACTTAGCGGAACCAGTTGGGGCTTCTTTAGGGCTTATACTAATTTTGACTAATTCATTTGGTTTTGTTCTTCAGATCCTTATGTGTATTAAAATGATGACAAATCATTCAAATATTTTTTTTAAAGTGATATAAGAGAATTGTAGGATTCAAATTCTACCCAATTTATATTCCAGATGGAGATTTCCACTATGTTTCTGTTACTATTTGGATAGTTTGGGGTCCTTGGGATCAGAATATTATAAGATATAGTAATTTAGTTTGGCATTCTGACAATTCTGATTTTCGAGTGGTCAACAAGGGAATTGCGTGGTCATTTTATTGTCATTACTCATGGGCATTTTGCTTTCTTTTAATTTTCTTATCTGGCACAATTTGAACTAAGTTATGCAATTCCCACTTTTTTCCCTTACTATGTTATTTTCAACTCCATTCGTATTTAGAGTTTCCCAAGGTTTTAACATATGTTTACCTCTGAAGTCCACATCGGTGCCCATAATCCCATTCCTTATCTTCATAGACTTGAAAGGTCCTTATATTTTGTTAATTTATAATAGCAAACAATAACAATAACACAGCAAGTCGAACAAAATGTTTGCTTCTTACCCCCCCCAAAATAAAATAAAAATCAGAGTGGTTCTCAATAAACATAGAAGACCTCTTATAGCCTAGAAAATCGAAATTGATTGTAGTTCTGCATGTTTCACATTGAAAAGAAACTACTAAGATGATTTGGTGGAAAATTTTCATTTTCAAGGTGAGGCATTTTATAAACGATAATGCTTTAAGTATTTAGAAATCCATGTGATGGCAAGTAAACCTTTTAGCTTCATGATCATCTCAACTGAAGGACTCCTGTTGTACTATGGTTTTATGTGTTCCTTGTCTAATTCACTTTTGTTGATGTCATTAAGTACACTTTTGCAGGTTGGCCATGCTGCATTTGAAGATCAAGGCAATGGCTTTCCCAATGATTTCAGGAATCCATTTAAAGATATCTTTGATGATAATGTAATGACTTTATCCTTACAGTAAGGTTTGTTTGATTGTTGATATATTTTATCATTGGGAGTTTTGAAATTTTTTATCAAAATTTTGGTAAACTAAAACAGTGTCATTTAGAAAAAAAATTGGTGTTGCATGCATGTTATGCAACTTCATCCATGAAGAAAACTTAACATGGCATTTTTTTGTGGCTGGTGAATATATTATGTATATTCTAGCTGTTGTAATTTGTGAACTTACAAAAAATTTCAAGGATGTGTAAGGAGCCTCTTCCATCACATAATCTTTTTCATCTTGATGTGGATGTGGCACTATATATCATTATATTTGGATACACTCCAATCTCAAGCTTAGTTCTTAGTTTAACTTGGAAAATGGTTATGCCACTCACACAACATCTTGATAGCCCCAGCCCTGGTGGAAACATGTTATGTTTAGTTTGTTTTATTTCACTAATTTGAAGTTTTTTTTCCATTTAAGCGTATGATCCTGCTTCATGGCTCTTTCTTATTTTTCTTTCTCTTTCTTTCTATTATTTGTAACTGGTTTTGTTAAGGTCGGTGCTACTGCAATTTAGTATGTGATGTGGGGTTGTTGGTTTCTTACTGATGAAGTTTCAAACTTCATGATCACAGAAATCATATCATACTTTCTACAACAAAATGAAGTACCATCTATGTTTCCTTATTATTTGCTCTTGCCTTTTTTGGATGTTATATTCACTTTGGATTATATGTGCATGTTATTGGCGGGGTGCTGTTTCCGATGGAGATTAGATCTTCAACATTTTTCGTCAGAATTTTGGTGGTCAAGATATCAAGGTTTTATCCCTCTTCATTTTTATTGTTGATCTGTGTATATGCTTTAGAATCTGCCTCATGACCTGGATTTCTTTTCATAAAATACGCAGGTTTCTTTGGAACTTTCCTTTATGGAAGCTGTTCAGGGATGTTCTAAAACTGTGACATTTCCAGCTGCAGTGGCCTGTGAAGATTGCGGTATGCTGATTCTGCTCATTTCTAAATGCCTTTGCTACTTTTGAAAGTATGCTGTTGTGGCATTTACAGTTGTTTTTTGCTCATTAGTATTTGAATGAAACTTTCTTATCTGATTTCTTGTGCCTTTGGATCTTTGCAGGTGGAAGTGGTGTTCCTCCTGGCACCAGACCTGAATCATGTAAGCGCTGTAAAGGGTCTGGCATGGTCAGTTTTTCTAAGAACAGAAACCTTATCATTTATTTGATCATTAAGAATATCACATCATCTGCTCTTGTTAACCATTGATTTTCTGCATATCCAGACTTACATGCAAACTGGCCCATTTAGGATGCAGACAACTTGTACTCACTGTGGCGGAACTGGTAAAACTTTCCCGGTATGTTCACATCTTATCTATAATAACTCATTTTCACTACTCAACAAACAAGTTTAATTGTCTATTTTTGTTCTCCAGACATGTTGTGTCATCATTTTTAAAGTTTAGTCTTTGTTTGCTGCCTAGTGTCCCAACATTGTTACTTCATACTTGCTTTATTGTTGCTTTTGTTGGCCAGCTGTTGTTAGATATTTGCTTACGTACTGGAATGGTTCTCTGTGTGTATGTGGGCTGGTTTGTTCCCACTTTCTCATGAAGCACGTATTTTGTTCAATAAAGAAGTTGGGGAAGTGAAACAAACATGAAAATCAACATGGGAAGATTTCCTGTGTGTGAATAATAGTGTGCTTGAAATTGAGTTTCATGAATACTTATAGATGAGTTCCTGAATGTAATTTTAATGTGTTCCTATAGATACATGTAATGAACTTAGGCACTTTTGTGCATAGGTTTGTATCCGAATATCAATGAGATTTACTTTGTTAAGAATTGAGTTTTGAAACTCTTCCTTTCTTTATAGATCTACTTGGGTAATGTTAAATGGTTATGCTCCGATTTCATGTTGTATTCCTATTGTGTATTAGTTCTAAATGTTTACTGTATAACTCTTTAAATGTTATGAGTTATAATGAAATACATCACTTTTTGGTTTCAGACACTTTGCAAATCATGCAATGGGAAACGAGTCACAACTGGAATGAAGTCAGTCAAGTTAGATATCATGCCAGGTATTTCCAATAGTTTTGAGGCATTGGGGTTGCTTCCAAATGGATAATTGTGGTTTTTCTGTTGCCAAGGATCATTATTTTTGCTGAATCGTTATATATATATACACACACACACACACACACACATATATATATGGAATTTTATGTACTTGAGTGGGGTTGCCTCTCGTAAAAGGAATTATTTGTCATTTTGTTAAAATAATCATGAATCATAATTTGCAACAAAGAAGTCGAACTACAAATCTTGGAACTATATTTGCTTGTTTCTGTAATGGTGGGTGTAATGACTTTATTTCCATTTACAGGTGTAGATGACAATGAAACTATAAGGGTGTTTAGCAGTGGTGGGGCTGATCCTGACGGAAATCAACCTGGTGATCTTTATGTTACCGTTAAGGTGACCTGCATAAGTTCTAATCGCTGTTGACGTCCTTGCTTTCTTTCTCATTTTTGGTACCGTAGTATGTATAATCCTTTTGTCTTACAAATGTACATCTTAATTCTGTTTGCAGGTTAGGGAAGACCCAGTTTTCCGTAGGGAAGGTGCCGACATTCATGTAGATGCTGTTCTGAGTATCACTCAGGTACTGCTTAAATCTTGTAGTGCTCAAGAGTGTTGTTTATATGCTTTAATGCAAGAAAATCTTGAAGAGTATTATGAGATGGAGAAATAGAATGATCTATTTTCACTTCGGCAGTATCTAATCTAATTACCTCGAGGTCACCAAGCAGCTAAATTATGAAAGTTCTGTTGTTCAGTTTCTATGATTATTGGGTTGTTGATAGATTCTTGAGAGTTATAATGTTTCTAGGCAGACTAAAGGATCTTAAATGATGGTTTTGGGGAGTTCCCTACTGTGCTGTTTCTTTCTTGTAACTTGGGATTTCCCATCTTTCTTGTACTGAGAAATATTCATTTATTCGTATATAGAGGTTTAATAAATGTTTTTTATTTTGCAGGCAATTCTGGGAGGAACTATTCAGGTCCCAACTCTCACTGGAGATGTTGTATTGAAGGTTTGTTTTGGAACTCATGCATGGTCACCAACATGTTCTGAACTGAAAAGGACAGATAAATTTGATTTTCTGTAGAGGTTATTGTTGTTATAATACTCAATGTGGCAATATTTTAAGTTGCTTTCTAATTTGCAGGTCCGTGCTGGCACCCAACCTGGTCAGAAGGTAGTCCTAAAGAAGAAAGGTCAGGAAATTGGATTCATGCTTTTTGCTAATTATGTTGATAGTTTCTAGCACTGATAAGAATTTTGAGTTTACCCACTGCATCTCCTGGATAGGCTCTAGTTTCCTCTGCATGTCCATTTTACTTTGCAGTTTGGTAATTTCGGTTGAATATACAATTTATCAATCTCCACTTCATGTGAATAAAACAAGGTCAGTTCTCACTTTTCTTCCTGGTGATTGATAACAGGAATCAAGACAAGGAACTCTTATTCGTTTGGTGATCAATATGTGCACTTCAATGTCAGCATCCCAGCGTAAGTCCTCCTGGCTTCAAACAATTTTGTTAGTATAGCTTGTTAATATGGTAACCTCTGTTTTGACCAGAAAGACTTTCAGTCAGTGTTCTATCTAAGTAACTCGGAACTTGACGCGTAATTGTATTGCAGGAATCTGACACAAAGACAACGAGAATTAATTGAAGAGTTTGCCAAAGAAGAGCAGGGGGAATATGGTAAGCGTGCCGCTGCCGGAGCATCTTGATAATATGGGCTGGAGAGGTTTCTTTGTTTGTTAAGATATTTTCTAGTCTTGCATAGCTGGAAGGAGAAGGAATGAGAGGGAAGTAGGCATAGCAAAAGGATCCACCCATTCTGGAAGCGGAGTTATTTTAGGTTCCAAATTCCAATTGAGCAGTTCTATTTGTAAGGTTGTGTAATATTTTTTTCATAATTCCAAGTCATAATCCGTACTTGTCATTTAGGCGAGGTGATCTGTGATCATCATGCAGTAATTTTGTGACAATGTACATATTGACTTATAATCTTATAATCATAATGGACTTGTTCATGTCCATAATTATTTTTGCCACAAATGTATTGAACACAGATTGAAATGTTTTCTTTTGGAACTGAATCTGAACTGCCATGTAAATTAACTGCATTATCTCTTTTAGAAGTAGGCAGTCGAAAGCAATCTTCTAGGCTGAATCTGAATTGTACTTACAGTTGAGACTGATTGGCATCCGAAACTCCCGACCATTTTTTCTCCAGATTGAATAGGTAAAAGGATGCACTTTTACCCCGGAAGCAATAACAGAATACAAGAACATCTTACATAAAAATGGGCTTGTTCCACGTAACTCGTGTTGATAAGCTACTTTGTAGCGTAACATAGGGCTCCTCTTCAAGTCCTTTTCATTTTTCGTCTTCCACCTGAATAGGCCGGCATGAGGCCGGCCTTGAGTCCAAAAGAGAGGCAATGTCCTCCCTTCGTTTCACGGAATAAGTAAATAACGTTAAAAGTAGTGGTATTTCAATTTCACTGAAGCTCCCACTTAGACTACACTCAGGTGAGTGGTTTTCTTTTTTAGGTTTATGTGGGCTTTAAATTTGATGATATTTTGTCTATTTAGGTGAATTTTTGCTATATTTGAAATATTTTACAGGAGCTGATATTTTTAAAATTAGGGATCAAGTTCTGGCTATTTTTGACAAATTCTCCTTCAATTGTAATCGGAGCGTACGAAACACACCATTTGCATTAAGCCTTTGATTAGCAATTGTCAAATTCAATTTATTTCTTTCTTGAATCAGGAAAACAATGATCGCAGTATTACATGTACCTTGAAAGGAAACATTTATGTTGAAACTCCTTTCGGATGATTCTTAAAATTTGGCTAAATATAGAAACAAAAAAAACAGAATTTTTCCATCCGTCAGTACTACATATGGGGGCCTATTTGCTCCGGAAATTGCTCTTTTGCTGCCTGAATCTATCTGCAAGCCTGATTATTATACTAAAAAATTACACAGAACATCCACGGATCTCATACACAGAGTTTTCTATCTGCAAGCCTCAAGAGTTCTCTACCTTCCAAAAGTTCAGTGGACTCGGTTCTCATCCTTAAAACCAATAGAAAAAATTCTTCCCTCAAAATAGCCAAACCTCACAAAGAAACCCACCTTGTCAGCTAATAAAATCCGACTTAAATCTCAAGATGCAACTTTGGTTTTTGATTTCGGTTTCTTGGCATCCAATGCTCCTAAGCCTTTGCCCAACCCAACTGGAGGCTGACCTTCCTGGTCAGTTGTTGATTGATCTTTTTTGGCATCCGCCGGACCATTTACAGGATGACCGTTGGCTTCCTTTACTCCATCAGTTTCTCCATTTTCAACTGCGTCTGGGGTTGCACCTGAATTGATGATATTGAGAAGCTGGGTAAGTGGAGGCAAAGCTTGGACTGGAACACCATGTGGACGTATTAGGAGGCCCCTTGCTGCTGCCTTCCTCCTAACTTCAGCTGCTGCACGAGCAGCCCTCTCATCAACTCCCCTACCGCGTGGAAGAGTTTCACCAATTATTGCGGCATTAAGAGATTTGTTGACGGAAGGGTTAGAACTCCCAGACCCACCGGCTATGGCAGCAGATTGGAATGCCTGCATCAAGTCAGGATGGGCCTGACATGCAAAGTTAACTATTAACTGGAAATCAAGATTCTTGGTGTAAATTATACCACGAGATACGAAAGAGACCGAAGGATTAGTATCCTAGCAACATTTACAAAATGCTCTCCAAATAAGTTACAGTTATCTCCTTTTCTTTTCCGATAAAAGATTCCAAAAACACATCAGAATATCTAGTGTGCAAAAAGCACATGAAAACTAGGCTTCTGAGCCTTTCATGGAAAATTAGAAATGAAGAGGACGCAGAATAGGAATAGGCGACAATAAGAACATGACTTGGGAAGATATTTAAAAAACTAACCACAAATTATTCTTCAATTCAACAAGACTTTGAACTTATTAGCAAAAAGGAGCATCCAAAGTACCTTCAAGATGTCGATTGCCTTTTGAGCTGAAGCAGCATTCAAAGCTTGACCTTTTTGCTTTTGTGCATTCATCTTTCAAACATGAGAAAAAAGTTTAAGAATCAGAACCAAATAGTAATTAAGTATATGCAACCAACCTGCAGTATGATTTCACCATGCAAGGTACAAATACCTGTAGCTCACGCATCTTAAATGTCTTCATCCAGTTTTGAGAGTCACGTGTTCTTGAATCCTCCTCGCCCAATTGTTTCACAAGTATATCGTAGGTTTTCTTCTCATGCTGCAACACCAAGTGTCATATGGAACAGTGAAATCGTTTTCTATTAAGTGAAAATCATATTAGAAGGCAAAATGTCATTATTATTCTTCCACTTATTCAATGACATCTAAATTAAACACTACTTTTAATATTGTTCTTTCGTTTTTCACTCATTTTATTGCTTCTATGTATTAGAATGCTATACAAAGGACAAACATATTTTTGACAACAGCAAAAAAGTATTGAAAGAAAAAACTCGTCCTCTACAGAGCCACAGTAATATTCAATTTTCTTTCTATGTTTTCCATGCCTGTATACATAATCACACGTATGCAATAACACATGCACATAAATGTGTGTGTGCGCGCGAACGTAAAAGAAGCCCAAACATGGAAGCAGAGATGTGCAGAGATCAAGATAATCACTTTTGGGGGGGGGGCTGTCAACTTGTGGAATTTGGATGGCCTTTAGTTTTGTATTTTCTATTTACAAGAGGGACATACCTGGTGAGAGAGTTTGAAGGCACCCATACAATTAAATGCAATAGCAAGTGCATGATAGCATACAGCAGTCTGGATATGTTCCTCCCCTAGAAGTCTCTCATTCTTTTTCAAAGCCTCTTGCAAATATCGAAGGGCAGTGTCCATCTTCCCAAGATCCTGGTACATCATAGCGACATTAATGAAGGTTGCAGCAACATCAGGGTGATCTGGGCCAGATGACAAACTTAGCAGGAGCAATGCCCTGGACATGTGTCGTAATGCAAGCTCTGTCTGATTAAGTCCGTGATAGAAAAGAGCCATATTTCCATAGCTGCCATAGCAAAGTTGCAAATGAAGGAGCCCAAAATCAAATCCAGAAAAACAGAGAGAGAGAGAATAAAATCAATCATTACAGGCAAGTGTTTGAACACTATTAACAAAAATAAAAATAAAAAACCAACTAATTCATATAAGAATTTCAAACTGATACACTACATCCACTCTCAGTTCATGGCGTCCAAGTAGATAATATTTCTTTTTATTAATATTAATTAACTAAACGTTTCTTCCTTAATTTCATTAATTTCTAGATTATTAGTGAGTTAGCATGTAGGATGGGTACTTTTCCTACCTCACTGTAACTCAAAATATCAGAAGACAGGAGAAGGAAGGGGGGTTGAGGGGGCACAGAAACGAACATCAGCAGAAATAATCCAATAAATGTCACACAGTTAACGTCAGTACTGGGCAATCTCGCCAAGACTCCAATATTTACCCCAGCATTGATTGAAATATATCTTTAAAAAAAGGAAACGTGACAATTTGCATTGTAATCCTCAAGAGAGCACCCAAATATCACAGAATTTTAACAATAGTTAACAGTTTCAGTTTATGTTATATAATCGTATAGTACGAGACTAACACAGGAAATTCAATTCAGAATAAGTATTCAACAACCATCTCAGTTAATAAAACAAAAATAAACACAAGAACCCAATACCTGTGAGCAGTGTCAGGGTGGTCTAAACCCAGGCAACGCTCGTTTATAATTAGTTCCTTGTGTTGTTGCATTATGGCTCCCGCCATATCTCCTGCATGATATAGGACCATGGCAAGATACCTGAAATTAAGTACAGCAACAACATCAGCTTAGATGTAATGTGCATCATGAATAACTAATTAAAATTAGAAACAAATCTGTCGAACAGTTTCAGGAGGCGATGCATACCGACAGCAGTTTGCAACCTCCCGATGCATTGGACCAGTAACCTGCAATCACAAAAAAGAGAGGATATAATAGTACTAGACACGCACATTTCATGGTAAATTTAAGATACAACCCAAATAATATTATTCACCTGCTGAAGTATCGAAAATGCTTCAGAAAATAATGTGTAGGCTTCGCTCAGCATTCCCTGAAATAAAAAGTGCAAGATAAGTGACAAACCACATTATTATTTGAACATGATGTCAATCACAACGAACTGATACTAGTTGCAACTTGTGCATGTCCTAATGTCCTCATATCCCATCATGATTTTGTTCTATATCCGTCGCTTCTTTTGAGGAAAACCAGTGGACACATTTTTGTGGGATAGAGTACAGTTCTGAGCTTTGTTGCAAGCATCACACTATCATGTGAGTTCAGAGATACTCCATTCTTATGCTTCATGCAGACAGGGGAAGACAGTTTATTGAGATTTTTCTGTTGTGTTAGTTTATGTTAGGCGTGCAGTTGAGTTTTACTATCCGGTGGTGAACTGCCTCGTCCACTACAGCACAATACTGTTGTTGCACTTGGTTTTGATCTAATTGTTATACCGTAGCTAAAGTTTATGTTTCTTATCATATATATACAAAGCTTGAGAACCAGGATCCCATGGCATTTTCTGCTGCAATTCCATTTTTGCAACTTTCACCATTTTCGCAGTTTTACCCGATAAGTTTGATGCCCTTAATGAAAGGGGTCCCTTTTGATGAGAATTGCAAAGGACAGTTCTTAAATGGGGATCTGAATATTAGACAACTGAACTACAGTGCCTTGTGGCCTCAACAAAGCCATCCCTCGGTTCTTATCAAAGGGATCCCTCTTAAGAAGGGGACTCATATATAACAAACTCATAATGGGATATTAGGACATGTGCAAAGTTTCAGATTTTGAGCGGATTTTCGCCAAACCTATATAAATCCTTCCAGTGAACAATCCCAAATTAATTATAATAAATATAAAAAACCAACACCTTAAAGTTGAATGCTTCTTTAAATTTCAGATTATTGCAGAACTAAAACATGTTTGGTTCCATGGTAAATGCAGCATCTCTATATTCTAATACAACAATTATTGGTCATCATCAGATTCAGGGTAAACGTATCCCAGAACTAAAAGATATAAAAATATACACCCTGACATTCTTTATATTAATATAACTTCAAATTAAAGTCTTGGCCATCGTTTGGAATTAGCATCGACTTCAAGGTTCTCACAGAAGATTATATTTCTGGTTGAGAACGTTTCCTTACATCCTGAACCTAATGCTATCACAATACCAAGATACAAATTCTTTGAAGACTCATTGATAAACAACAGAGTACAGTGCATACCTCTGCCAGTTGGATCTTTCCTGTTTCCACAAGATCCTTAGCTTCTGAACACACAGGAACTGAGTGTTTCACTACAGGTTGAAGATTTAAGATATCTGATATTTGGAAAGGTGCTGCAGAATTAAGATCATATCTGCGAGCTGCAATTGTAATGCCCACCTGCGAATGAAACCAAAGTCAATTTTTCCGCCACTTAGAAGTGTCGGTGATTGTGAAGCAAATTTGAGTAGCAACCAAGTAAATTGGACCAGAAGAATTTATAGTTACCTTCTGACAAAGATTACGTATAACAGAATCTTTCTTTACACGAGTCCTAGCATCCTCTGGCAGCTCAAACTATCATCAATGGCAAATTACGTAATACGATACGTTAATAAACACCAATCAAAGATATCCTTTTGGGGACCAAGTACTAAACTTGGAGATCCCACAAAACATATACAAGTCCATTTTAATTTATACAGCCCAGAAAAATGAAAAATGTTATGAAACAATATGGAAAATGGCCCATGGAAATAAAATCAACGAGATCCCCACGGGGGTGTACATATTTCTCAACAAAAAATTGTGACCCGTTAAAGTTATTCAGGGAGCATAATTTCATCGCGTCAAAAAGTTATTCAGGGATGTCAAATTCTTCCTGGAGAGTCAGATATTATTGATAATTGATACCTGATATTTGAGCTTTGTAAATTCTTGAATGTCAGACCATAGAGTTTCTGAGCTAACATGCATAAATGAGGATTGATTCTTTCTTGTAGATGCTCCATCCTTCCATCTTCCTTGTCCCTTGGACAGCTTTCCTGAAGATTGATGGCCTGTTTGTTCCTGAAGATAAAGGAACTTACAGTTACAAAAGGTTCCTCAAACTCAATAAATAGACCAGTTTTGCTGAGATATGCTTGGTATTAAAAACATTTGTGATTCCCAAAAAGTTCAAGTTAACAGTAAACTGCATATAGTTGCAACATTTTACTGCAAAACAGTACTCAGATGAGCTTTAAAGAGATTGCAGGGATCAAGAATTAGCTTAGAACAACTTAGCACGGAACTTTCTTTCTAGTTGATACTATAAAACATACTTTTTTGGGGGTTCTAGACTGCACACTATTAGCAGCCACTTTAGAGCCAACAGCTTGACTGCTTCCGAAAAAACAGTTGAAGAAATGGGAGATTGCAGGCCCAATATCATGATCATCCGTTTCTCTCAAGGCATCCTGCAGACAAGAAAGTAGAAAAGACCATGAACCACTTTCCACCAGAGACAAAAAGATTGAACACTGAACAGTGACAATTGTGTGAGTGTGCTCAGTCAATAATAACTCTCGGATACATGGGCCAAATATCAAGGACCTGATTGGTTTTTACTATGACTAGAGAACAAGTAGGAAAGGTGGAAGGATGGATCTGAAATAGTAATTAACACTTATGAGATAACCAATCCAAGGCTACATTTTTGAAGCAGGCCCATGAACCAAATTAATAGGAACAAGAGTACAGATTGGCATATAACAGCAAGAAATAAGGTTTCACATGGATTGATATTTCTCAATGTCTGTAACAGTTACAATGAAGTCTGAAACAGGTATATAAAAAAAAAGTAATCAGATATAAGAGCTCAGTTACAGACATTAGGTACCACTAGGAGAAGTTGCACCTCAAACTGAAAAAGTAACAAACTCATACTGTAACAAGAGCAAGGACACGAATGTGTTGCAGGGAAGTTTATTTATTTGCTGTACTAAAAATTCCTTCTCTCTGACTATACTGTGCTTGGGAAGAGAAGGATGGTGTAGAAAGAAAATGAAGAAGTTATTTGAGGCATAAAGATTGCTTCAACAACTGAAACAGCCTAATGGATGTCGCTTAATCGTCAAGCAGGCATCTTGCAAGAATATGTTTGGCTAAATCCCTTTAAATATAGTAAGCAACAACTCAACAACAAAAAAATCATGAAACTGCTATCTGAGGACTCACGGGAGTTGTATCCCTCCTAGAGACCTGAATCAAATTACTTAGCTTACGACTAAAACATAATTTTTATGGAAATAACACCCGGTAACATATCAACATTTGCTGGTCCCAACAGGACAACATTTCAGTTATTATAACCTCATAACATGAGACAGACCATACAAGGAAATGCTTATCACCTTGATAATGTGCTTTGCCGATCTCACCACAATCTCATTAGAGCAAAGATCCCAAAGATGAGGTAAATGTCTGGTCCCATCAGCCACCTGTTGAAAACATCCATAGGGTGTCAAAAGCAATATCCCTACATATTCAAGGCAATCAGTCACCCAGACCTTGCACATTCCAATTTATATAAACCCTTACTAGGAGAAGAAAAAGGAATACTTCCACAGTTTCTACAAGCTAGTAGAAGTTACAAAGTGCGAAGGATTTATTAAAAACCATAATCCTTACTTTCCCAATATAGCGAACATTAATTCCATGAGCATGGAGTGCTTCAGTTAGTGTTTGCCCATCCATGGGTGATACTTCAAGTGTGCAAAGGTCTTGTATAAACTTCGGAAGCACAACATCTGTAAGATACAAACTGGCTTTTCTCACATTTCCTTCGTCTGCTGCAATCTCCTGGAAACAGGAAGGAAAAAAAGAATTTATACAGGTTTAAACTCAGTGAGAAACAAAGCAGAAAATTAAAATGTCCAAAAAATACCTCCTCACTTCCCGCCAACTTAAACTCAGTGAAGACATTAGGGTTGAAAAGAATGTCCTCACATGATTCAGAGCTGTCCGTGGGTGGGGAAGCACTTTCTTGTGCATCTGTGGCCTTCCCTTTTTCCGTTATGTCCTGTGAAGAGCCATAAAATGAGACATCGCCCATATTACTAGAAGGCAAATAAAGAATTCATCCTATACCATGCCAAATAACCAATAAGTTCACCTGTAACATTCTTAAACTAAAAGACATGTTAATTTTAACACCAAAAACAATGAGAAACCCCCTCGCTAAATCAGAATGAGTGAGAAATAAAGCAGATAATCAAAAGGTCCAAAACACACCTCCTCACTTCCAGCCACCTTAAACTCAGTTAAGGCATCAGGGTTGGAAAGAGTTCCTTTGCATGATTCAGAGTTGTCGGTGGGTGGAGAAGCACCTTCTGCATCTGTGTCCTTCCCTTCTTCTGTTATGTCCTGTGAAAAGCAACAAAATGACAAACGAACTCATCCTATACCATGCCAAATAGCCAATAAGTGTACCTGTTACATTCTTAACATACTAAAAACAAGGTGAATTATAACTCCAAAAACAATGAGAAACCCCCTCTCCTGCTAAATAAGGATTAATGACAAGTATAAAAATCTTAGAAATAGTAATACACTTTACTGACATGTTGAAAAAGTATAAACAAGTTTAACAACAATACAACCTTCAAAACCTCTATAAGCTAAAGTTGCATCAGCTAAATTCTCACCTCTTTAACATCGGTGATGTTTGGAGAATCATTGGTGACGTGACCTTCTCCCTCACTTGACTTACATTTTGGTTTATCTGCAGCTTGGACCTTAATCCAGAGAAAAAAAAAAAAAAAAAAAAAAAAAAAAAAAAAAAAGAGAAACATATGAAGCGAATATCAAAGAATTCAGTCATTGATATCAGGTATCATATCTTATCCTGGCAGTAAGCAGTAATTAGTTCAGGCCTCAAGATACAAAATCTGGACCCAGGCCCAGTGAAGTTTGCATCACGTGGAGTTACTCTCATCAAGTCAAGGAGATAATGCCTGAAGCAGGGAACAGAATTAAAAAAGAACATGCGTGGGTGTACTAAGTCAGGTCTGCACGAATAGATCTTTAATGCAAGAAGTTTCATAAGAGCTGATGAGATTTTCTTAGAGAAGTTCCGAGAAGTAAAAATTACCTGTCATCACTACCAACAATACCCTTGCATTCTACTGGTGCTGCTAACTTAAAAACATTTCCAGATCCATCAAGGACAGTGTGTTCTTTCAGATGAAGGCGTTTAGCAGCTTCCACCACCTAAGCATACAAAAATCTTAGAATTTTCACAAGAAATTCTAGTCCTGAAGAAGGACATACGCAGTTTTTCTCACTTAAGAAGACGAAATATGAAAAAATTGGTAGCATAATAAAATAATCCGGGCTTAGATCTCCCTCACTTTGGAATGGAACTCTTCATTCCAGCATATCTTCTTTCCATTATCAACAGAACCATATAGAAGAGAGTCTGATTTATCCCCTTGAAGAATGCCCGGTAAAACACTCTGCAGTGAACGCATAACAAATAAAACAAGGAGAGAGCAATCAGATAACTAAAAAAAAAGTTCCTCAAAAAACAACAAAAAAAGGTATAAAAAAATCCAAAGCAAATGCAAACCCTAGAAACTTACATGCAAATGAAAAGAAAAACAAATTTATGGTCATTTATGTTATGTATGAAATACAGTCAAGTTCAGCAATTAAAAAGACAATTTTCACTATACTTTTTTCTATGGTGGAGTGGGGCGGGCCAAGCTCTAATAGACAATTGTTTTCAAAATTGACCTTTGAACTTATGTCCAGGAAAGGTGCAGCACTAGGATTACCAGTTACTCCTAAGACGAAAAAAATTATAATACATACAAAGAACATCCGGTTTGAGACACACCTGAGCTACTACTCTATGTCCCCTGTAATCAATTATGGCCATAGCGAGATTATAAAGTCCAGAAACATCAGCTTCTTGGTATGCCTTGGTGCCTTTCAAATCATTATTTGCAGAAGCATAAGTAGCCTGCTCGGTTTCACCCAATTGTGTTTCAGCAGAAACATCAGGAGCCGATTCCATGGCAACATGACATTCCATTGTACTTGATCTATCGCATTTTTCCCCATTGGGAATTCCACTCTCTCCATGCAACAAGCTATCAGGAGCCTTCTCAGAAGAACTGCGTAAAGAGCCAGTGCTCCCGATCTTTGAACTAGAATCTACATGTTTCTTAGACAGCTGCTCAAGGTCCGCATCAACAGCAAAACTGAAGAATATATTATTGTGGACATACCTAGAGCCAAAAAAACCAACATCTTATATCAATTCATATTTCCATGAATCTATTATTAACAAAAGCATGCATGTGTCATAAGAATCAAAGTTACAACCATACCATCAGAAAATGTATTGCCTAGATAGTACATAAATTACCAAACTCAATAAGGAAATATTTTTGCTCACCACTTTAACCCAAGGTGTATGCTCACCACCCTTCTTAATATTTGACATGTGTCCATAGGCATAACCACGGTTAACTTTTTACTTTGATTTATGTAACCATGGTTATACTTATGGACGTGTCAAGTATTGAGAAGGATGGTAAGCATACATCTTGGGTTAAAGTGGTGAGCAAAAATGCTCCCAACTCGATCAAAATAAGAATGAATGATATGTCAAAGACAATTTAATGTAAAGCTTCAAACTTTGAACTCAATGTAGAAACCCTCATATGGCAATGTTGGTCTGATCCATCATGACTACTAATCAGAGTTACAGTAAAAGAGATTCAATATTATATGTATGCACCAACCACACAAGTAATGGATATTGACAAAATTTTACAGTAAACTTGGGTATATTAACTAGCCAGATAAAATGATTTTAATACTGGAGTAAATTGATATATCTGATGCCAACAAAAAGGTAGTGGTATTTAGATTACTGGGGAGCTGGGTCATAGAGTAACCACCACTAAGGCAGCTAACAAAATGTAATTTACTGCATAGACATAGAGTAACCTAATTGATGTCTTCATGGAAATATGTATTTTTTAAAAAGAAAAAAAAAGGCAATCCTTTTCAGGTCAGACTAACATGTGGAAGCACTCTGGATCAGTGGGATTTATAGGTGGTATGCATCTGCTAATGACTCCAATAGCACCACTCATAGCTGCATCAACGAAGTCTGAAGTCACTTTGTAAAGAGCCCTATCCCGCAAAATTCTGCAAAATATGGCCTACGTGTGAGATAATGACACAAGAATCTAAAAATCACAGATTAAGTGATAAAGTAATTAATGAATGGAAAATACTAAAGGACATACATAACTTTTAGAACCCACTCTATCAGAGATCATTACCTTTCCTGAGGAGTTGTATGTGGAAATTCCCTACAAGATTGCAACTCCTCATTCCAATCCCTTTGCATGCCAATTAACTCACTACCATAGGAGAGAGTAAGGGCATCCTCTGCTCTGGCTGCATCACGCTCGTGATCTGACAATAGTAGATACTTTAAAATGTATTCATATGTGAAGAAGATAAAACACAACATCAAGCAAACACTAAAACTCAGAAAACCAACTTCTGTATGCCCTAAAATATTTTATATTAAAAAATTACATCAAGAATTATAACCACATAAAGTGACAATAAATTACATGTACTGTGGGTGAACTCTCCCACTTTAACTATGGTCTCTATTATAAAATTCCTTTTCATTTTTGGGTTACGCATAGCCCCAAAAGACAATAAAAATTTGGCATGAATTTAGAAGTTTTGAGACAAAGAAAACATACAGGTAAAATTGAAAATACTCACATGTCAAGTGGAACTCTATAAATATTTATGATCAAGCAAGAAACATTATGCAACATTATAACGAGGTAATGATGAATGGATGAGATTACTTCCTTCTAAAACCATACAAATGATACAAAAAAGGTTGTGATTGAGACTTTGTTAAACTCTAAACTGAACACAAAGTCAATTATCATGCCAATTTGAAGACAACAAAAAAAACTTATCATGCTTAAGTATCATAACAAAAGCAGGCTGCACACGCATTAAATTTTATAATTGTTATAATCTATTTTCTTTATTTCTTTAGGAAAGAAATGATATTCACTAAGCAGAATTGAAGATAAAATTTGCAAAACAGTAATCTCTATCAGTAGCAGTAATGCCTGAAAGAGGCAACCAGAAAATTGGCCAGGCTACCAGACATGCAAAACATGGAGATCTTGTGAAATCTTCTCGAGGAAATTATTATTACATCACAAAAGTGACACCTTCTACAACCCCAAAATCCTCATTTAAAAGTATTCAAGTCCAACGAAGTTAAGCTCACCTGGAACTGGATATAACCCTAGCCATGAATTTGGTGGCAATAAAGATTGAACATTTTCGAAAGGATGTGCAGAAGCCCTCCGCTCCAAAATTTCACGAAATGCTGCAATCAATAGAATATAATTAATCAAACTTCTGTAAATTTCAAAGAGGAGAAAAAAAAAACAAAGGTAAAGAAGGTCTGAACCATTTCAATTACCTTTTTTGAACTTAGAGCTGATCTTTTGCAAAAGTCCAACAAGTGTGGTAGCTTCCAAATTGCTTTTACTCGGCCGAGGATCAAGAGTATTCCCGGTGCTTGAATTTACATAAAACAGTTTGGTAGTCCCCGTAATACAATGTTTATTACCCTCCATTGTCACTACATCCAAATAAATCAAATCCCCAACAAGCCTGGCAACAAAAACGCCAGACAGCACATAGTTAAGATAAGACAATTCCCAGGAAAAAAGATACATTTTATTTTATGTCATAAGATGCAAGCAAGAGAATTTATGGTTCACCTTCTATAGCTTGGTGGGGGGTTGAAGGATGAAAACACAATACTCTCCACACATTTGATCTCTTTCGAGGGTGATGATAGCAAATTGCTCAATGAACCGGCAACATCCTCCATAAAACCCAAACCATCAAGCTCTGGGACCTCAGTTTTTGTGGTATCTAGATCACAGTGAATTACAGTCCCAAGTTAAAAGTAATTCCCAATGTAGATAACAGGTACAATAAATGAGAATATTAGAATGAATTTATGTTAACTGAACAAAATCTCAAACCTCCAGGACTTGATACTTTGTTTTGTGCTGTCTCATACTGTAATGCAAGTGATGTTGATAGTGACGCATGAAGTGTGGACAGGGAAAGTAATTCTCGTGTACGATGAACATGAGCCCTTATAGATCTATCATCATATAAAGCTGCAGAAAAATATTCACATTAGAAGATCCTTTAAGATCTTATAACCCCAAAAAGCAACAGAGTGTTAGTATACCAGGAACCATCTCCAAGGAGCAACCACCAATCGTAATGTCAGAAACTTCTGAAATTTCATTAAAGTCTTCCAAATGATGAGTGGAGCCATCCTTTGTGTGTAGCAATAAGTCATAGCATGTGAAGAAACATGTCTCTGGCGCATCAAGCAGAAACTGTCTTATATCCATAACAGAATCTCCCGGGTTCAACTGCATATTATAAGGTAAAATGGATTCAAGGACACAAAATATCTAATTAGATTACATAATTATATCAATATCCATAATCAACTATCAAAATAAAGTGTGAGTTGACAAACATGGACAGGGTGCTCAAATTGCCTTAACTTTTAGCATTTTGCAACCAATTACATATTCAGTGAAATTACAAGCAATATATTATCAAACTTAACTCACTTGTAGCTCAAGCTTCTCGCCACTTTGTGTCTTGACAGAGACGGGATACAGATGAAGGTCGCCTGCACTCTCACGGATAGGGAAATCAGAATGAGATAAACAGCTTTTTTATAAGAGAATAAGTAAAAACAGTTAAAAGCTTAGCTCAAAATAACAACAAAAAACTAAATGGTCGCCGCTTTTGAAGGTAAATGAGCTTGATTGAAAAGTTATATAGGCATTCAGTCATGACCTACAAATGTGATGAAATTAAGCCATTATTTGTACAAATAAGTCCATGTCCACGTTCAAGGACCAAAAAAACAAAGGAATAATCCAGCTAAAGTTAAAAGTACATTCCAGAAAGCACGGCTAAGAATTGGGAGAGGAGGGGGGGTAGTGGTTACATGTCAAATGCATTGGATTGCCTCTAAAACAGTGCAAAACACGTCCATACATCTTGATGATTTTTCATTAAAATATACAAATACATAGAGTTTATCATTAATAAATAAATAAAAATCTGTGTGTCGAAAGCCTTTATCAGTCCAAAGTTCTCGCTATGATACCATCTTTCTGGTATGCTTGCTATGACAGCATTGCACCAATAAAAAGACACACTAGAGAGGAGAAAGAAAGGAAGAGAGTCCACTCTTAACCTTCATCCTTTGTTTTGTTGAATATGAAAGAAGCTACATATGCGTGTATGTGTGTGCATGTGTGACTTTCTCCATCTGCTAAATCAATATGTTATCCTTTCCTATATGCCCATGCAGTATTCATGTCTTGTGTTTTTATAAGTACTTCCTGTGTGTCAGCTAAAAGATATGAAGTGGTGGACATGTCTTTTGTATGTAATGAAGCCTTCATTTACCTAGAAAAATGTAATTATTTTGTACTATCTTAAATTACTTACACAAACATGGTTACATTATACAAGTGCCCGCAGATTTTTTAAACACATACGAGTTTGTGTAAAGTTATAAATGTTTATGTATGTACATTGCTTCTCATTGCCTTCAGGTGGTTAAGGGTTCATTTGGGAGTGATTTTGGATAGGCCAAAAATCACTACTGTGGAGAATCACTTCTCCATATAATCACTTCATGTGATTTTAAGTATTTTATGGAGAATCACATGGGAGGTGCTTCTCCCCATAATCACTTAAAACCACTTAAGAGTGATTATATGGAGAAGCACGTGGGAGATGCTTCTCCCTGTAAGTGATTATGGCCATCCCAGAATCACTCCCAAACAAGCTCTAAATTAATTGTTGTATTGAACAGGATTAAAGATCGAGAGAGGGTGAATATGGGAATGGCATATTGACTAGGTATTTACAAGTGGAAGAAATATTTGAAGGCCCATAGTACCAAATTCACCTTGCTTAGGTTGGCTGGTTGAATTCTCTGTTTCAGACTCTTTTGCCTCTGGCTTGCCCTCAGTTGATTCTTCCACAGCAGAAACACCATTAGCATCAGCTTTGATGGGCTCTGAAGCGCTTGAGTTATCTTTCACAGGAGCATCAGTCGGGACCACTGCATCAGAAGAATTTGCAGCATTATGTGCCACTCTACGGTTCCTCCCTTTATTCGACTTTCCAGCCATTTTCACCACCTATTCTGCAAAGATTTATTAAAACACCAAAAACATAAGCACCACACATGAATAAACACAGGAAGGAAAAGAAAAAAAAACATGCACACTGCATTTCGTAAGCCACTAAACAATATCACACGAGATGAAGGACATAAAAGCCCCGAAAGACAAACAACTAAAAAGGAGAGAGGAAACAAGTATTACTTTTGTGCTCATACGGATACATATATACACACACATATAGTGCTTTATACATTTATCAAATATAACCAGTTCAATAACATGGAAAGCCTCTTCCTTTCCTACTAATTCAAAATGCACGAATTCAAAGCCGCAGCCTCCTTTCCTCCTCCCCAAATTAGGCATGAAAGCATTATTTTTCAAATAAAGTAATAATATAAAAGGAAAAAGAACAACAAAACAAAACAAAACAGTGGTTGCAGTGGTAAGACTAAGCATAAAAAGAAAGGCCTACATATAAGTTATAACACAGAGCAAAACCTGGAAAACCACAACAAACAAAAGTCTTCAATATTTCAGTTTCTTCATTTTGCAAACAAGTAATAAAAAAAGAATTTCAATCAACTGAACCAGGTATAACACCTGTTCGTTCATTCTCCAAAAAACAAAAGAATCAATTTTCCATTTTTATTTGATATATTTTCACTCCATTTTCTTGGGAACCAAACGAGGAATTAACAGAAATGAAACGGATAGAATAACACTAGTATTATTACCTGTGAAGGTGGGAACGATGAATATATGAATATATATCTGTGTGTGTGGAGAGAGTGTGAGAGTCGCACGCTGAGGTTTTAGGAGGGGCTAGAGAGCGAGGAGCAGGAAGGCAGTGGCTGATAGCCCGAGAGGCGGCGAAGTTTCGCCCTTTTATGTGAGAGAGAGAGAGAGAGTGAGAGTGGGAGAGAGAGAAAGAGACCTTCTAATAATTTGGTGACCCATTATTGGTGGGCTTGGGCCTTCTTTCTCATTTATCTACGGCCGAAAAGATTTTCTCTTTGTAATTGTGAAAATTTCAAGCCAGTGACAAATAGATTCTTTTATTTTTTAAGAAAATGGGTGTTGGAAAAAGAAAAAGTTAATATAATTTTGGTTTGGGTTTTTCACAGCAATGGTCCTCAATTGTACCTGTAGTTGCATTTGGGTCACTGAACTCAATCATTAGTTGCAGAGGTCACTCAATTGGCTATTGTGTTGCACCATTAGTCATTTCGTCAAACTCTGTTAAATTTTCTATCAAAAGTGAGGGTAAATTCGGAAATTCATCAATAACCCTCCCCTTCATCCGCAACCCTCCATTGTCGCAACCCAATCGTTGCTTCTCCTCCCTTGTACAAAAATCTAGGCAGAAAAAGGAAAAGAGAAAGACAACTCGATTAGGTATCACATATATAAGAGGAAAGGGGTTTTAGAAGAGAGAGAGAGAGAGAGAGAGAGAGAGAGAGAGAGCAATGAAGGGTTCTCTCTGGGTTTCTTTTGTTTTTTCCATTACAAATGATCAAAGAGTTAAAAGGAAGATGACCATGACTGCCAATTGTGATATTTGTGGTGCCCCAATGGAGAATGCAGCTCATATTGTACGGAATTGCCCAGTGGCAATTTCAGTTTGGCATCAGTCCCTTATGCCTATGAATCTGAGTTTGCTCCAGGCTGTTGATCTTCATACTTGGGTTGCAAAAATTTTACACAACTCTACAATTTTGGCTTATGGAGTGGAGTGGTAAACCATGTTTGCTTTCACTTGTTGGTTTCTTTGGAAATGGAGGAACAAAAATATTTTTGATCAGGGGTTTGTGTTTCCCAACAACCCTAGACACATCATTCTTATGGCTGCTGCAGAACGGACACAAGCCAATATTGAAAAAACTAGAAAACCCACCCACTCTCTCACTGCGCTCTCTTGGCAATATCCGAATGAATGAGTGATTAAAATCAATATTGACGGGTGTAGAAAAGGTGAGGATGGACGCATTGCTGCTGGGGGTGTACTAAGAGATAGTTCTGGGCAGTGGATGAGAGGCTTTGCTGTCAATCTTGGTGTAGGACAAGTCTTGGAAGTTGAGTTATGGGGCATCTATCTTGGACTGAAACTTGCTTGGGATATAGGTTGCAGTGCAGTTGTGCTTGAGTCTTACTCAGCGACCGCGGTACACCTGCTTAACAAAAATGTGGAAGACCTTCACCCTCTTGCTACTATGTTGTGGGGATGCAAGGATTATATAAACAAAAACTGGGTTTGTTCTATTCATCATGTATATCGTGAGTGCAACATGGTAGCCAATAAACTAGTTGAATTGGGCTCATATCTTGAGTTGGGTCTGTCAACTTTCTAGGACCCTCCTGACAGTACTAGATCCTTTCTGAGTGAAGATCTACTTGGAGTCTTTATGCCTCGAGCCATTGTTTAATTTCTTTGTTGGGCATTAGCCCCGTTTCTTCACAAAAAAAAACAAAAAAAACAAAACAAAAAAAACTTCATTAGAAATGTGAGTCAAAACACAGTTGTTGCGAAATTTAGGTTTAACAGATTAATCAATTTTTAATGCTCGCAAGTATACAAATCAAAACATAATATAGCTAAGTAAGCACATATATCGTCCCACAAGAATTGACTTAATTCTTAATATTCCTAATAATTAAACTAAAACTAATTTTAAATTGAGAAACTTTAACGAATGAAATTGATTTGAATTTGTAATTGAGAAAAACTAGAATTAAAGAAAGCAATTAAAATTAAAGACAGGTGCATGACACAAGGGATTTATGAAAACCAAGAGACAAAAACACTTGAGCATTTGATTTATGTTATATTCTTATTTAGATCGGTGCACTAGATACTAAGTTATATTAGGTTTGATAAGAGTTTAAATTAGATTATAACTTGAGGCCCAAAACCTTGTGAAATAAGGAAAGTTGTGAAGCTAATTAAAGGGGTCCTATTTATTTCTTTTTGCATGAACTGTTGCTTGATGGGCTTAGAGTGTTAGTCAAGTCGGCCATTGGTGATGAGTGGAAATGACTTGACCTAGCCCTATATAAACTTTAGACCTTGCTCTCGTCAGACACGTTCTCTAAACCTAATATTATCATAAAAAGAGAGCTGAAACAGTTTCTGAGAGATAGCAGAAGTCTTGAGCCATTTTGTGTCTTTTGCCAAAGTCGTTGCTGCTACAATTGAATGAGCTAAGATCGTGTGCTCAAGAAAGATGGTGTCAGGTATGTCTTCTATGTATTTCAGATTGTATGAAAAAATCATGGACACTTATATAGAAAATCTAACAATTTCATCTTAACCAATCCTACCCAATCCTTTAGCATATCAATTCCAAGCAATTCCCCTTATTGATAATCAATTTCCTTAAATTATTCAATGGCCATGGCATCTGGTTATATCAAAAGTGTCTTTACATGCAATTTTCTATGGCATCTAGATGAATTCGACACATAAAGACCCATTAAGCTCTATGGAAATTATGTAGCGATCACACAAACCCTAACTGCACGGCATCTATAATTAGTCATTCATGGTATTAATTGCAAGAAGCAAAACTCAAGTTAAGTATGACATCTACTCTAACTTGCATCACACTAATTCAACTTGGATTATAACATCCCACTTTGACCAACGGAGAAAGGGTGATGTGCTTTATATGTACATGTCCGCCTCCATTTAGCACGAGGCCTTTTGGGAGCTTACTGGCTTTTCGGAGTCATGGGAACTCCGAAGTTAAGCGAGTTGGGGCTAGAGCAATCCTAAGATGGGTGACCCACTGGAAAGTTGCTAGTGAGTTCTCAGAAACAAAATTGTGAGAGCATAGAGGGAGGCCCAAAACGGAAAACATTATGCTACGGCGGAGCCGATCCCTAGATGTGACAATTTGGTATCAGAGTCACTCTACCGTGTGGTGTGAGTGTGCCGATGAGGAAGTCGGCCCCCTAAGGGGGTGGATTATAACATTCCACATCGACCAATGGAGAAGGGGTGATGTGTCTTATATGTACATGTCTGCCTTCATCTAGCACGAGGCCTTTTGGGAGCTTACTGACTTCAGAGTCATGGGAACTCTAAAGTTAAACAAGTTGGGGCTAGAGCAATCCCAGGATGGGTGATCCACTAGGAAGTTGCTCGTGAGTTCCCAAAAATAAAACCGTGAGGGCATAGAGGGCGGCTCAAAGCAGACAATATCGTGCTACGGCGGAGCCAATCCTGGGATGTGACATAGATGGTGATCAGACATCCAAACCAAATTAAACATTAAGCACAACAAAAGATACTCAATAAAGAGAGAAAACCTTGAAATTAATATTAACTAAGAAATTGAGTATTCATGATTAGGCTATATTGTAGCCCTAGCAAAGAAAATTAAGTCCTCAGTCATAATTGAAATCACAATGAAAAACAGCATGAGTTTAGAAAAACCCTTGTTAGAGCTTCCTTTCTTCCTTCTTTGCTATCGTGTTTCTGTCTCTCCATAATATGTTGATCTCCACGTTGATATCTTCACACCAAGGAATAATTTTCCTTTTATACTTCACAGCCAATCAAGGTCAATAAAAGGCTAACTAATCCAAACCTCATCAGGACCGTAGTCCTCCTTGAACAAGGAAGTAAATAAAGTAAAAGCAACCTAATTAAAAGCAAATCCCCCACCCCCACTTCACGCCTACAACTCTAGCCCACTATTTTCTTTAGTAAACTTGATTAGTCCCATTGAGACTTTTCTACCAAAATTGCTCTAGACACCTAAAGATGCAATTCTACTTTATTTTCCATGTAGTTCCAAAATTAAACACCTGCAAATCAAAACAATTAAATTTAATGCAATTAACCAATCCAATTATACAAATCTAAGAGAAATATTTATCAAAAAGCTATATAAATATAAACACATCAATAGTATATGCCAAACCATAGGGCAAACGTGCGAGCTACCCAAAAGAACTAGAAATCAGAAAAACAAGAAACATATAGGCAACAATTCTCCTCAACAAAACACCACAAAGTCCAATACCAATACAAAGCTAAAATTAAGAAGCATGGGGAATTTCATGAACAACTTCTGCATGTTAAATATCTAAGTGCCCTATGCATTCCATAACATACGGGTTTCGTTTATGATCATGTTGAATGAAATGCCATAAGAACATGAATTGCAATACTAAAATATCAGTTACTATAAAAAATATGTGCAGAAGTATTATGTTTGAAACTTTGATGTCCCACACCCCGCTCAATCATTTGAAATCTTTTGAAATGAGATATGGATCATCCAAGGCACATTAGTGTTACGTACTTCTCATGTTCAAATGAAGGTTTGATGTTTTTTTTTCATTGAAGAATTGTTTTTTATCATGAGTATGAAATATATTTTGGGAAAGAACTTGATTTGGGGAAGAACTCATTAAAGAGAATGATTAGTTACACATTCATGAGATGTGGAATGATTAGTTTCCACTTTAAGCTTTTGTATATATAATCAGTTATTCTCTCATCCAGATGTCTGCACGTTATTATTGTGTTGATGTAATTGTAAACAAGGAGGAAAGCAGGAAAGGGTAGTAGAAAATATATAGCGCCCACACGATAATAACATCCGAATGTATGTATAAGAGAATTTATGTATATATTTGGGTCAGAATTGGGGGACACATAAAAACCACACATTTTGACGCACTTCTTTCACGATTAGATATCGTACCATCTAACGGTTGAGATTTATTAGTTAAGATTTCATTTAAGGAATAATATTTAATATTTTAATTGGTATGGTGTATTAATGTCTTTTCCATTAAACGCTCTCGATTTCCTCCCACCCTTACTTTATATATATATCTCTCTCTCTCATAGCTCCATCACCTTTGATGGAACTCAACCATCTCCGACGAAGAAACCCTTTTTTTTTTTTTTTTTTTTTTTTTTTTTTTTTTTTTTTTTTGCGCAAACGAAACCCCAGCCATCTCTTGCCGATACCAAGTCATGTATATATGATCTCAATTTTCCATGTATTGATCTTTAAAAAATATATTGAATTGATACGGTATATTTTTAAAAAATATACATGTTGCAAATTTGAAGTGGGTGGCTCTGTTTTTCTTTCTATCAAACTCAGTTCGTCCAATTCCTCGATCCTGACCCAATATGAGATAACGTTATTTAGAAAAACAGAGCCAATATGGCTATGTTTTAGCCATTGAATTGATATCTAAATAATGTGGTATGTAGAGAAGAAAAGTCAAGCAGATCATAACATAGGAAATCCAAGCATAGGATCCAAATCCTTTTAAATGATGGACTTTAGGCTTCATGGCTAAATTTGATAATAATAAAAAATTAGAAAACTGTATCATATACATTTTGAATGAATTTGAAATGACTATATACAAAGAGTTATTTGAAATTCATTTGATTTCTTCATTTCCACAACACTTTTACACAAACAAGGAGCTTCTTATTCAAAAATGCCCAAAAGATGTGATGGGGAACTTAGATATGATTATGGCTCAAAATAAATCACCACAAATGGTTTTTTTATATTCAAAACGCCCCAATGAACTCAATCATCAACTCGAAAGGAAAAATAAAAAAGAGAGAACATGAGAAGCGGGGTCGTGACACTTCTTCTTCCTCCCCTTTTTATTGGGTTTTTTTAGACTCAAAAGAGAGTGACCGGTGACAATGTCCAACAAAAAAGCTTGAGAGTTAATGCATGTTGAAAGCCTCATATTTCTCCATGCATCTATTTGCGAAGGTAGTAAAAGGGAACTCAGCAAAAGTGTAGAATTTTTTAGAATAATAGTAACCACATGAATGACATGTTTACTAATCCGTAATTGGATTAAGAAGAATTGAATTGAGGATTAATGGAATTGAGGAGGAGTTGGATTGAGGATAATTAGATTCCGGATTCTTATTGAAGTTGTTTACTAAATCATATGGAATTGGGGTATGAGTGGTACTAATTATTAAAATGTCCTCGTTGTTGGGTTAAAATATATGGTAAATTTGAAATTTTAAAACTTGTGTGAGGATATAATGGGTAAAAAAATGAATTCCTAATGGGTTAGTTCTCTAAGAATTAGAATACCACCTCCCACCCAAGAATTGAATTCCTCCAAAATCAGGAATTTGATTCCTAATTTTGTGTGGACCCCACTTACTTTTTAATTCATTGATTGAAGTAAACACAGAAATCCTCCATAATTGGAATTCAACTCATGATTCGAACTTCAATTCCTGATTAGTAAACACACCAGAAGTATAATATATATATTTTTTGGTCTGAAAAACATGAAGTATAATATAATTGAAAAAAAAACATATATGTTTAATGCTTCGAAAAACTTATTTTAGCAGTTTTCCTCATGAAATCATTCATACATCCACATAAAGAAAAACAAAGCTTCGAAAAAACAAAATGGGTAATGGTAAGTTTGAAAGAGCAAAAGTAAAAAAGGAAGACATTTGTCATTGAATTTGCTGTCGTCATTTGTGTGGACTTCATAACTAAATCAGAATTAGAAAAACATTACGAAATTGATTAAATTGAAATTGAAGAAAGCAATAACTTTTGGGTTGGTTTTTATAATAGTAGAGATTAATGACTATGACGGCGGGGGCGACATTAATGACTATGACAAGGTGGTGGTGGATATATATAAAAAATTATGGGATGCAAAAATTTGTCATGACCTAAAATCAGTCTAGAATCAATCATAGTTCACCAATTTATGAAGTTTCTAAAGTAACGATTAAATACATCAAAATTTGAATTAATACAGTTGAGATGTTTTTTTTTTTTGGTAATGAGGAACCACTCTACAATAGGGCCCATTGGACCCACCCATGTGATCTAAACCTCAAGGAGCCTAGCGCATCAGCCCACCACCACGCATCCCCCACTTAAATCTTAGTTTGATCATGTGGGGAATGTCTTAGACTTCTATAAAATTTTGTTCGAATACCCCATAACTTTTAAACTTTTTTAAAATATTTTAAAATCTTAATTGAATACATCCTTAAGCTCAGTTTATAATTCTGAGAGTTTTTCTAGGATAATTCAACGAAAAAGGTGAAATTCAAATTGAGCTAATAGCATTTCCATCGGAGGTCCCAGCCTGGGAAATAGGCCCCCTAGGCCCCTAAATGTGTTTCCATCACCTAGTCTTGCTAGGGCAGGAGCTGGGCTTTGCCAACCTAGGCAAGCCTAAAGGCAAGACTTACTTGGGCAAGTTGACCTAATGCTGACGTCATTATGATGTTAATAGCAAATTTAAATAACAAAAAAAATTTAAAAAACCAAAATTTCAGAATTTTTAAAAAATAAATACTTAGCCATATTCTTCACTTTTCACACCAAAACTCTATACAAATTCCTCTCATCATATTCATGTAAATAGCGGTTATCCTTCAGTTGTCATGACAATGAGTGGAAAACCGACAAAAAAATTGTTAGGGCAGACACTATTTATTTGAATAGTGGCAGTCATTATTTCTCTTGCATTTTGCCATGACAAATGGATAGAAATGTTCTAACAATTGGCCCAAAACTGTGCTAGTTCCAATCTAGGAGAGGCCTTTTAAATTCATTTTGGCCCAAAACCACTTCCCCACCATCTATTCCGAGTCTCCTTCCATCGGAGTCTCACCGAGTCATCTCTCTCTCTCTCTCTCTCTCTCTGTGTGCAACTTCACATCATCAACCATTTCAAACCCAAACCCTGGATCAGATCTGAGCTTGATCCGATCCCACCATGTCCTGCCTAGCCCTCTCTCTCCAACCCGCCAATGGATCCGATATCCTGCTCCAAACCCGAGAATGGTTCCCGCCGGCCCGAGCTCTCGTCGCCGTCTCCTCCTTCCGCCAAACCCGCCTAGCCTTCGCCGCCGCCAAACAACAACTCCACACCCCAAAAGACCAGCAACACAACAACTCGGAATCTTCCTCCTCCGACGCCACCGCCGACTCCATCGCATCCCTCGGTGACGACCCACTCGCCGCCTCCAGCGGCCAGCTCATCGTTGGCGTCGAATCTCGGTACCGAGTCGTCTACCGCCTCGTCAACTCCATCTACGTCCTCGGCGTCACCACCGCAGATCATGACAACTCGATCAACGTCTTCGAGTGCATCCACATCGTCAACCAAGCCGTCAGCGTCATCGTCACCGCTTGCCGTGGTGTCGATGTTACTCCGGAGAAGCTGGGTCGAAAGTATGCCGAGATCTACATGGCTCTCGACATTGTTCTGAGAGGTGTCAGCAATATTCGATTGGCGGCGATGCTTTCGTCGATGCACGGTGACGGCATTGCGAAGATGGTGCACTCGGCCTTGGATACTGAGAACAAGATTCGTGGGGCGGAGAATTGGAGAGCTGTTGAGGCGCATTCCGTCGAACACGAGGTGGGCATTGAGGCGTTCAACAATTTGGGGTTTGAATTGCCGCCGGAGACAATAGCTGCTGGAGATGAGGTGGCGGCGAGCTTGGCGCCGGTGGTGCAGAGTGAGGAGAAGGATCTGAAGTTAGAGAATGAGGAAGAGAGTAAAGTAGAGAAAGACCCATTTGCTGCGAGTGAAAAGATTAATCAGCCTGAAGAGTTGGTGAGTGGGTTCAAGAAGAATAAGGATCCTTCGGCCACGGACTTAACACTGGCGTTGGCGACACTGGAAGTGACGACATTGCCCCCGGCAGAGGCGACCCAGTCTACTCATATTGCTGTTGAAGGGTTTGAAGGGGAGTATGGTGGGATTGAATTTGGGCATGACCAGGCTTCTTTGGGTGAGACTTTTGAAGGGTTTAGTGATGCTTGGGGTGGTGGGCTGGATGCTTCCGAGTTTGTTGGAACAAAGAAGGTTGCGAAGAAGGAAGGGCTTGGCGGGCTTGAGTTGTTGCAGACTGGGCCAGATGCTCCGAAAACTGCTGATGCGGCTGCAGGTGGTGCGGCAGCAGGCAGTCCTCTTGATACCCTTGTGAAAAGTGAAATGAAGGGTCCTGAGATGCACATTGTGGAAGAGATCAGTGCTGAGTTTAGAGAGTCATTGCTTGCTAGAGTAGGATTAATGGGTGTTGTTTATTTGAAAACTTTGCCAACCAAGACTAGTGGTGATAAAGAAACCGAGTTTTCATTCCGGGTTGAGGGAACCAGTGCGGTTAAGAGGTTTATTATGCAGAGTTCTCGAGTTAGTAGTCTAGGCAATGGGATGTTTCATGTAAGGACCGCAGCCTCAGATGAGCCTTTACCCGTCTTGAAGTATAGTCTGCTGCCTAGGTTGACACCATTGCCCTTGAGGGTTCGCCTTGTGCAACGCCATACAGGGAGCTTACTTTCTGTGATGATACAATATGTGTCAAATCCTGAGCTGCCAGCGCCTTTGACTGATGTGACATTTGTTTTGAAACTCCCCCTTGATCCTACATTGTTGAAGGTGTCCCCGAAAGCTGTATTAAGTAGGTCTGAGAAAGAACTGAAATGGCATGTCCCTGAGATTCCGTTGAATGGATCTCCGGGTAGGTTGAGAGCAAGGATGCCTGTGGATTCTAATGAAGGAGATGGCAGTGAGGACATTGAAGTTATTGCCCATGTGAAATTTTCTTGGCAAGGAAACAGATCATTGTCCGGAGTTTGTTTGCGACCGGCTTCCGAGGGTAATACAGATTTTTATGAGGTTAATCACAGGTATGAGAGTGGGGTATATATGTGCAATTGACCCATGATGAAATCACTGTTGCATTGTAGAGGGTTGTGCCTCTTTTTTCTCTGTTTATTTTGAGAGATTTATGTTGATTGTATGTTGTTGTAGCATTCTTTGATAATGAGCTTGTAGCTTAGATTATTAGTCATGTGAAAGCTTTGTGTCTTTGGGTATTGGCTTTTCATTTGTGTGAATGGATATACAAGTTTCTCTTCACATGCTTTCTTCCATCTTTTGGTTTTTTACTTTTACTATCATATGGACGTGCAGGTTTTGAAACATATTTGCTACATAAGACAAGCAATTGGTGCTACAAGAAAAATCTAAAATTATGATGATAAATATATTTTGAAACCAAAACAACTGCATAGTTAGCAAAAATCATATAAAACCAAAAGCTAAAGGCTGCTAGAAATATATAAAAGCTGGAAGGCAAGAGAAGGCCGAACCCTGTTGTTTTGTTGAAACTTTTGCAGTGTCACTTATGTTTGCAAACATGTAGGTAAGCTGTATCTTATTCCACAGCCAAAAAACTACTGCAGTTTGCCGTACCATTTCACTGCTTTCACCGTGCTCACAGAGATTTAGAAAAAACCAAACAAAAAGAGGAAAAAGGCCGTTTTCATTGATTTTCATTGTGCTTGTATTGGTATGTATCTGCAATTTCATCTTCATAATTGACCCTTTGGCAATTGTTTTCAATTTTTTGGTAAATAATAAATTAATTGTATGATAATTTTTTTTAATTTTTTTAAAAAGTTTTAAGTTGAAGAAAGTGTGGTGTTTTATCATATTGATGTTAATAAAACATGGAATGAATTCTGGGTTTGGCGCAAAGAATTGTGTTTATATGTTGGCTTCGTCAGCTGTGTTGAGAAGACAACAATTTTGTATAAGGTCTCTTGTAGCTTAGATTCACAAGTGGAACCTTTATGGAGGCTGATGCTGAGAGCGTTTTGAGGGTAATCACTCCACCCTTGATCCCAATAATAGACACACGGGTCAGGCTGGTAAGCTAACAATCTGCTACCAATGTCATTTCTATAACTTCGTATAATATGCATGAAAATATAAATTTATTATACATATGTTTGCTGACATAAATCTGCCAATTTTTTTTTACTCATTTGTGAACGATGATTGTTGTGCTTGATACTGTGTAATATAGGCAAGGGCCGAAATTAAAAGAATGCTACAGCATTTTGATGTGTACTAGGACTAACTTGCAAATATAGGACTGACTTGCGCGCTTTCTGGTTCCAACTTGAATTGCTTGTCTTATTTGTTTTACCAATCTTCTAGGCAATTCTACCTTATATTTATCTCCCCATGCTTGTTTTACCAATCTTCTATGCAATGTTTGAAGTATGATTAGTCCTCTATTTACTGTGTAAGAGAGAGACTGCTATTTTCTAGTTACATCATGCACCAATAAGTTGTTGGCTGGCCATTTAGGTAATCAAAGGCCTCGTTCTTTCTTTGGGCTTTTGCTTTCTCTTAAAAAAAAATTCTTATGTTGGAAAATTTCATTAAACAAGGATTCCTTATGAATGAGTGTTGTATGTGTTGCAAGCAAAAATGAGTATGTGAGTTGTCTTTCTTAATCTTGATGTATATTTCACTCATCGAATACTGACATTGTTCATATTGAAAAGTGCCATAATAGATACTGTCCTTAATTTGAAGAGACAAGGCTCCAATTTCTATTTTCTATTCACCGCAAAAGTTGCCGTATTCTGATAAAATTTTATTTTACTTTTCCAGTTTGTAATGATACCCATCATCAAATGTGTAAATATTAAGCAGAGGAGTGTGAGGCCAGCTAGGTTAGTGTGTCTGTCCCTTGTAGGATACTAGTGCATATTGACTTTAGGGAGCTATCAATTGGCAATTGCTCTAATTATATAATAAGCAGGAAAATCAGCTAACTTAACGGCATATTACATACTGCTTGAAACTTCTATTTAATCTGTTGATTGTTAATTTCCAGAAAAAATATGTTAGAATAATATTTAAATTTATAAAATTGATTGTAAGTGGAAAAGTGCAGATCTCATGGGAGTTGGGACACAAGTAAGACATACACGATTGTTGGCATTGGATACTTGAGGGAAGCTTTGTGACTGCACAAACTTCTACCCAGTTCAATTTTGGTTCCCTACTTGCTATTTTTGCTGAAGGGAGAGCCTCATACAAAGTTGATGTTCCTACTTGGATCTATGTGGATGAAGGTGCACCATAATTTTCATGTTTTTCATGCAAGATCCAAAAGATACAGCATGCAACCAGTCAACCAGAGCTGAAGTCGACATCAAGCGGTTGAAGCTGAAAGAAGTGGATGAGGTTAGGCGGTTGCCTATGAAAGGAGTTTCTCACTTATGAAGGGAGTTTCTCATCAAGTGAAAGGGCCTTGGAGACAGAGACTAAGTGAGAGAAGGAGATATACTTGGAGCAGTTTAAGAAGAAGATTGAAGACTTCAAGAAGATGTAGTCATCGTGAGCGCTGACATCTTAAGTGGGGAGAATGTTAGGGGTCGCTTTGTAATGCCGCACACCATGCTTGTCCAAGTCATTAGTCAAGCCCATAGCCGCTTGATTGTGCGTGGGAGTATTTTGGTAGTTAGCAAAATATTTTATTTTCTTGTATTTGGTCATTATAAGTTCTCTTCAAGCATTCTGATGTTTCCTCTCCTTCGGTAACTTATGAAAATGCTCATCATGCTTCTTACAAGGGGTGACTAGTCGGTGGAATGGTGAGCTAGTTCACTTGTATAGGTAAGCATGCTTGCCATCCATATAAGGCCCCGTTTGGTTCATAGAATAAATTTGAGGAGAAATCATTTCCCATGTCATTTCTTAAGGAATGGGAATGGAAGATTTCTTTCCTACATTTGGTAATGTCAGGAAAGTAACTGGGAAATATCACTTTATTTCCTTTCCCATGTTTGTTTTGAGTAGAAATGAAAAATAAAGTTTGTATAAATTTTCAATTATACCCATATTAATTCAAATAAAAAAAGAATGCATTTAATGATATATTGTAATTCTAAATTGTTAATGGGGATAAAATGATCATAAAAAATATGTATTTAATGTTAGTTCATTTTCCCAAACTTTTCCATGAGGAGGGAAAACAAAACCCAAGTTAGGCGGATGGTTTCACTTTCCCCCATTCTTTCCCATGAGCTTGGCAACAATTTTCCATACATAGACTTATTAAACATGGAAAAACAATTGATTTCTCATTCCCAAGTCTTCTTTCTTATGAACCAAATGGGGCCTAAGAGAAGAATTATACAATCACTCATTGCCTTGTGTGTTGCACTTGCTGTTGTGCTGCTTGCTTGGTGTATAATATGAATATTGGGTGTTTGTTGCCTACTCCATACTAGCAAGTGCCACAAAGTGGTTTTTTTAATTTCCGACCTTCATGCAAAGACTTGTAGCTCAAGTGGTCTTAAGAGTATTTAACCATTAACAATGTACTAGGTTCGTTTCCTCCTCCAATATCGTTCGTATTAAAAAAACTTTCCACACCTTCATCAATGTTGGGCTAGCAGGATCCACTTCAGTCACTCAATTCCATGTGTCAGGATAATACCGAGTTTGGACGTACCGTATGTCCAGTGCACCACACGCAATCCTTTTCTCCCAAAAGAAAAGCGACACCATTACTACACGAATCTCCACGCAAGCGTTATACACTTCAAAAAACCCAAATACAGAAACAAAATAAAAAATCTCCCGCCATCCCTAAAACATTTGTAAACCCTCAAAAACCAGGAATCTCATCGAATTTTGATCCGGGTTGAAGATTTAGATCGGGAAAATGGAGCTGGCGGTGGTAGATCTGAGCTTGTACTTGGGATCGAAGGGCGAAGTGAAGGAGTTGTGCGGCGAGGTGAGCCGGAGTCTGAGGGAAACGGGTGCTCTGTTGGTCAAGGACCCCAGATGTACGGCCGAGGACAACGATCGCTTCCTCGATATGATGGAGAGGTACTTCGATAGACCGCCGGATTTCAAGCGACTCCAGGAGAGGCCCCAATTGCATTACCAGGTGGGTTCTGTTTGGTTCCCGAGAAAATGAAAAACTGTTGCCTAGATATCAGAAAAATGAAAATTTGAATTTCTTTATAATAAAAAAATTGAAATTTGAAGCCCAATTCTTTGCTTACTGATTGGTGGCTTATCTGGGTTCTCTTTTGATTTTAATTATCTATTTCTTTTGATTTGTGGTGGGAATTGGATTGTTGTTGCTCAAAACTTGAAATGGGGATAACATCACAGGTTGGGGTGACACCAGAGGGTGTGGAAGTGCCAAGAAGCCTTGTTGATGAAGAAATGCAGGAGAAATTGAAAGAAATGCCCAAAGAGTTCCAGCCATCCATTCCCAAGGGGGCAGATCGCAAATGGCGATACATGTGGAGAGTGGGTCCTCGACCATCAGAAACCCGCTTTCAGGTCTCATTCTTTGTTTTCCTTTAGATATTCACTTTGCACTCATATGTATTGACTGTTTTAATTAAATGCTATATTATACTTGCCATGATGATGATGATTATGTTATTCTTGTTTTCTAGGAACTTAATGCAGAGCCGGTCGTACCTGAGGGGTTTCCTGAATGGAAAGATACCATGGATTCATGGGGTTACAAGATGATATCCGCAATAGAGGTGAGCCATTAATTTGATTTTTCAGCTTGCTCATACCACTTGCTTGTTTTGCATATTATCTAATATTCTTCATGTAATTTATGCCTCTCTTTCTTTTCAGGCTGTTGCTGAAATGGCTGCCATTGGGTTTGGCTTGCCAAATGATGCATTCACATCTCTTATGAAGCAGGTGACCAATGATTGCCAATTGAAACTTACATTCATGTCTCTATGACTGTCTGCCACTAGTGGTGGGCAGCGGTATTGATATCAAATAATGGAATCATGATTACCGGTTGCCTACTCTGACAGTAGTTTCCTATATCCATCAGTTTCCATTCCATCTTCTATATCCATCACTTTTCTTATCTTTAGCCACTGTGACCACCTGTGTCCCCAAATTTGTGTGGCATTCTGTTGAATGCCTTTTGTATTGCTCCATAATGCCACTATTATTATCTTATTACACTTCTCAGTTTTGTCTTTTTTTCTTACAAAGATGAATTTGGGGTGGGCATATTCTTCAACCACTTTATAGTCTTATTAAATACATTGGCTTGTGATCGGATATAGAGCATGTATTTTGTCTCCATGCTGCATTTTCGACAATCACCAACTTCTGAATTGAGTATCTAGAATCTCTTCCTTTCTATTTGCCAATTTCCTGGCTAAGTTCATTCGATATGTGCTAAGTACCCTTTCTTTGTGAACCCAGGGACCACACCTTCTAGCCCCAACAGGAAGTGACCTTCGGCATTATGGCCAGGAGGGTACTGTGTTTGCAGGATATCACTACGACCTGAACTTTCTAACCATTCATGGCAGAAGTAGATTTCCTGGTCTGAATATCTGGCTAAGAAATGGGCAAAAAGTTGAAGTGAAGGTTCCTGTAGGATGTCTTCTCATTCAGACTGGGAAGCAGGTAAGAGCATTTTTGACCATTGTGCTTAGTAGTTATGCAATAGTTTACAAGTTAGTTGACCCCCTGAATATGGTGGCTTTCATGGGAAAGCAATTTGGATTTCAGTTGCATCAATTAAATAACACGTTATACATATAGGGTTTATGCACATCTTTTGGTAAAAATAAAAAATAAAACACATGCGAAACATTTGATTAGTTGTGCTTAGTGTCTCCTCTCCCCCCACCCCAAAAAAAATAGAATTGCTACAAGTAAAACAAATAAAACAAATATTAGGCGTGTTAATTTTTAATTCAAGTTCCCTCTTTGATTGGAATGGCTGTTTTTTGGTTGGTTGGCTATGGCATGTGTTGCATTTTAAATCTTTAAGCTAATTGTATTCCATTCACACAAATTTTCATGTGCAGATAGAGTGGTTGACTGCAGGAGATTGCATAGCTGGAATGCATGAAGTTGTTGTAACAAATAGGACAGTTGACGCAATCAAACTAGCAACGGAGCAACATCGCTTACTTTGGAGAGTATCTTCTACAGTGAGTGAAGCTAGTCATATTGTTGTCATTGTTACCGTTTCGTTCTTCTACTTTTAGTTGGCATTCTAAAAGAGATTTATATAAATAAGATTTCTCAATGCATCGTATACTTATATGTGACATTTCTCGCGATGTAGTTGTTTGCCCACATAGCATCTGATGCTGTGTTAAAGCCCTTAGGTCGCTTTGCAGAATCCTCGCTTGCCAGTAAATATCCGGCGATTTATGCAGGAGAGTTTGTTGAACAGGAGCTTGCAGTAATCAATCTCAAAGGAAACAAAGGAGAACTTTGATAACCTGTAATATGTGAAAATCATAACTTGTTATGTCATGATATGAAATGCATTTGAAGAGGCCTTTGGGAATGACATGAGTTGTAATAAAGATGGTTGGGATTGATGATTATTCACTGTGGCCACACACATGAGGAAATATTGGAGAATTATGTTCTCATTTACTGACTTTCTGTTCTTCCTCAGCAAGAAAATTTGTACAATTTCTTTGGATTCTCAAATCAAATATATATTTCTGATTTGTTAGTCATGCTTAACTATTTTGTTTTGGTACATTGTGCTCACACATTTTGATCTTCACCAAAAGTTGTCAAATGTGCTCGAAAGCAATTTCCTTGAGAATCATGCATTCAATTGAACACGGAAATTATCTTCTCGAATACTTCAAATGTTGTGAACTTATGATCATGACGCAAGTCTGGATTTGCTCCTCACTGATTTTGCATTTCGAGTTGCTATAGTGTAGCATCAGTTTTATTTTTGTCCTGTAGTTTAAAACTTCATAATCGTATATACTTTTCTTAGTAATTTCAAATTGGTCTAGTCACATACTCTTAAATAGTAACTTGGAGCTAATTATCCGATATTAATATTTTGGATGGTCACAATTTGGGATCGTTTGAAAGGTAGTTTAGGAGGTTTTTTGAGCCATTTTGTAGTTTGCTACATGTTCATGCTTAATAGGTTTCAAGAAATTGATTGAAGTAAAAGTGTGTAAAGCATTATAGCATTAAAGCTAGAAGCGCATTGTTTTTGGCCTCTACATATGCAAACAATGAGAAAGTAGGTGCCTTTGATTCATTTTAACTAGAGCTTCTTTGCTAATGCATTTGGAAAATGCAAAGAGTCATGAAATTTGAGTTTAACAACTGCTCCACCAGCACACCAAATGTATTTTTGGCTGGTTTTTATGCACATATCATCAGTGGCAGAGCTGGCGACAATGGCATCATATAGGTGTGACCTTTGGGTAGGATGTACCTGCATGATGGCATGACCCTCATCATAATGTCCTATATATTCGAATTTGGGACGTCTTCTCTGTAATTAATCTCAGCTCAAATTAATTAAGATGAGGCTAATTACTATGACTCTTCCAGTTTTGGTGGTTATGTTAGTTTTGACAGGTTTGGTGGATCAAGGGGAGGGCACCATGTGTGCAAGCACCTTCTTCTCATCTATTGTTCAGCTAATACCTTGCAGAGCAGCAGTTGTTCCTTTTAGCCCCATCCCACCAAGTGAGACTTGCTGCAATGCCCTCAAAGCTCTTGGCCAGCCTTGCCTATGTGTGCTTGTCAATGGCCCTTCAATTTCTGGCGTCGATCGTACCATGGCAATGCAGCTCCCAGAGAAGTGCACTATCAACTTTGAACCATGTACTCTCTAGCTCCTCTCTGTTACTTAACACAATAGTGCTAAAAAAAATGTTTGCTGAAGCAATATTTTTCACCCATTTGATCTAATATATTATATAATGACTTTTACTATATATGTTTATATTGAACCTCCTTGTTTATTAGTAATATTGTAAGAATCTTTAGAGGGAAAAAAAAGATAAAAGAAGAAAAAGAACATCTTTCCCTTGTGTATTTCTGAAAATTTATAATTGATGAATCTGGTGTTTTGTTTTCTCTGATGCAGGTGGAATCATGAATTAAAGAAGTTGAAGCATAGAGCTGAGGAGTATTCTAGAATAAGTGTCTTGGAGTTGAAAGGCTCCTTTTGGTTGTTTAATATTTAATGCTGCTGTTAATAAGAGGCTGTATTTTTAGAACTTGAGATTATGCAGTGAACCACTTGGGTTTTAATTTGATTTCTGATGTAATAGATTACTAGTTTATTTTAATAACTAAGTATGTATTATTTACTTGATAAAAAAACGAAAATATGTATTCTTTACTTGTTCCTTTTACCTGGATATCCCTTTTGGTAATTGTAATTGTTTTTTCTTCTCATCATCTTTACTTTTCCTCCTACTTTCTAAGTGATTAAAGTTGATGACATGCAGCACTCAAATTTGACTCTTTTTACACAATCTACAGATATTTGTCTCTATTCTTGAGTTTATTTACACTAGAAAAAAGCCACAATTCTTTTTTGGCATCATTGAAGAGATCTTGTAAATGCTGCAATATCTTCATTCTTGCAATTACCTCTTGTCAAGAAAACATTTGTGACAAGGGGAATTAATTGCTCATAATGAGTCCATAATCCATATGCCTAAATTTATTATTATTATTATTTTATTTTATATATAAGCGATATTGAGAGATGAGAGAATCGAACCTAGAATCTCTAATGAGGTATATGTCTAAACTTATTTGGCTTATAAAATTGACACCAATCTCCGCCAACATTGGCGAGATTGACTAAAATGGTTCTGCATCCAAATTGGATTTCAGCCGAAAATTCAGCCTTCTTAAAATGGTTCCTCTTGCAAAATTTATGTTGCAAAATTCATCAGAGTCAAACGGATCAACAATCGGGGTTATATATTGGCACCTCGACAAGGTTTGTTGCTCACACTGGTCAACTACACCTAAAGTCATAATTGAACATATGTAATAGTATGGCCTAAGAATTAACAACATTATCTATCCTAACAAATCAGAATTCAGTAGGTGACTTTGTCCAGACTAATGCAAGTCTCCAGTGAT